CGTGGCGCGCCCGACTCTGGCCAGCGACGCGAGAGGCGGGCTCGGAGCTGCGGGGCGGCGCTCACGGCGCCAGCGCCAGCACCGGTGCCTTCGGGGTCGTCGCCGCAGGTCCCGAGGCGCCAGTCTCTCTGGCGTTGGTGGCGCGCACCAGGGTGGGGGGGGGGGGCGGCTGACGGAGGCGGCCTTCGACGAAGGCGGAGGGCTTTGTGCGGCAGGCTCGTGCCCTGTCGACTCGTGTGCTGGTTCTCGACGCCGCGTCGAGCGTTCAGCCTTGAACGATCGCGGCCCTTGGGTATAGCGGGCACTTCCAGGCCACTGGCGGCGTTTAACCTTGAGCGCCCGAACTGGGGTCGCCGCCGCGTCGAAAACGACCGGAACCTGCCGTATAGGGGCTCCTGCTTTCTTCGAGGCCTTCTTAGATTGGGAAGCGGCTCCTGGAAACTCTTTGTGACAAAGATTCATAAGGCGCGATTCGGCCCGATCAAGGAGCCACAAGGCCGGGTTCGCCCCGATTGAGCCCAGTGTATAGCTAGATTAAACGGGATTCGTTGAGGCTAAGTGGGATGATGGCGGATCAGGCCGTATTTCGACAGCGAGCAGTACCAGCGCCCGATGCTGACTTTCGCCTGGCAAGAGTTGCATCCTACGTAAGTTGCACGTCGTTCGGAAGAAGTAGGTAGAAACATGGAGTAGGAAGGCGGACAAAATAGATTGGGCTCAGGCCCTCCCAGAGACTGACAGAACACAGAAGGCTTCTATCGACTCTTTACCTAGGAAGGCGCCCGAAAAATATTGGGATCTGGGCAGCCAGGATTACCCTACTTTCAACAACCAGCGGGTAGAGGGGCTCAAGGCCGCTTCAGAGAAGCCACCCGACCTGCGGTGGCCGCCCCCCTGTCCCCTTGCGACGCCCCACCTCAAACCCCTTCCCCTCCTCCCCCTCCTCCTCATCCTCTACTTTTCCTTATCCATGATTTTTCCCTGTCGCACCCCGAGGCTAATTGTTAGGGCGGGCCGGGCGTTTCGCCTGAGAATTCCTCACCATTTACGACCCTTAAGGTGAACAGCTAGCAACTTGTTCACAGATGGAAGGCGGGTGGCTTTCAAAATCTGGCTCTCGCCCTGGCGCCAAGTATATTTGTTATAAACATTTGCACGACTTTCGCGGATTGAGGGCGGGTCGTTTTCAAAATGTGGCTCTCTGATTAGTGCCGCGCACATTCGTTTTAAACATCTGCACGAGCTACACGGATTGAGGGCGGGCAATGTTCGACATGTGGTTATATTCTTAGCGCCAAGCACATTCGTTTTAAACATATGTTCGAACTTCACGGGTTGAGGGCGGTTCCTTTTCAACAAATTGCTCTATCCTTAGCGTCTCGCGCATTCCCTTGAACAGACAGAACAACTGCAAAAGTTTCACGTTTTTCCATTGTCAATGTGCCAGCAATGATATTCTGGACAGGCTCAGGACTACAAGGGTGCAACAGTTGCGTTGATTCGCGGTGTTGAAGTTCCAGGAATGGCGTTCTGGCATGATCCAGGATCGTCAAGACGTTACAGTCAGGTTGATTCGTTGCGTTGGAGTCCCGAGAATCATGTTTTGGCATGCTTCCAGGTCTTCAAACGGATGTCTTCCAACGAGGTAGTTCCCTCAGTAGAAATGGACCCCCGTAGGGGCCTATGGCATATGGAGAGGGAGCTTGGAGGGGAGGGAGGGTATAACCGCATGCCGGTGATAATAAAGGGACCCCCCCCTTCAGTGTTTAGAGTTGATGATCGTCGCCCTATACAAAATTCAAATTGGGCGGCGAGCGCTGAGGCCGAACTTCATTATCACCTCGAAACGCTATGTTGAGATAGCAACATCAAGCGATGTTGATATAGCAACATCAAGCGAAGCGATCACACTTATCTCGCATTTTATCCGTATTTTATATTTGTATATATCCCCGCGCGCGCCTGAACTTGTTGATCCCTGGGGTTGATTATCCATGGAAACTGAAGCACATGAGCTACCCTACATGAGCACTTTAAACAATCGATTTTCATAAAGCGTTTGTACATTAAAACTGATAGATTTGGAATGTTGATGTGTTCCTTTCTTATTCTCTCCTTCTTCTTGTTCTTCTCCTCTTCTTCTTCTCTTCTTATTATTATTCTACTCTTCTCTTCTTCTTTTATATTTCTATCTGTCCCCACGCTCGCCTGAACTTGATTATCCCTGGGGTTGATTATCCATGGGGTTGATGTCTCAAGCGAAATAAGCAATAGTTCGACTGTGTCTCAAGCGAAATAAGCAATAGTTTGCGGATGTCTCAAGCGAAACAAGGGATTTGTCGAGGATGTCTCCAGCGAGATAAGACACTGTTGAGGATATGTCTGTGAAAACTAAACGCCAAGGATGTCTCAAAACGTGCTCGGCTTGGTCTCCTCTTGATCATCTCTTACTTCGCGATTATGCTGAGGTCTGCTGGGCTACTTTTATTATCTCTCCCTGAACCCCGAACTTTATTATCCCCTAGTGTTTATTCTCACGGGCATGAGGTTATTCCAACATCGTTGATGACTCTTGGGTTCACACTGGTCCTCCTCCTCCGCCTCCTCCTCCTCCTCCTCCTCCTCCTCCTCCCCTCCTCCTCCTCCTCTCCTCCCTCCTCCTCCCTCCTCCTCCCCCCCCCCTCCTCCTCCTCCTCCTCCTCCTCCTCCTCCTCCTCCTCCTCCTCCTCCTCCTCCTCCCCCCACCCACCCTTGCGCGCCGCCAGCTGCTCGGAGCCCTGGGGCTCTGACGCGACCGCCCGGGCCGGCTCGCAGCCGCCACGGGCGCTGCGAAACGCCGCCCCGCCCCGCCGAGGCCGCCGTGTACAGGTCCTGCACGGCAGCCACTCTCTGGCCGAGCACCCCGGGGGGTGCGCACACTCGACGGCCGGGGCAGGCCAACACAGGGGCCTCCCGAAGGGGGTCGCATCGGCGACACTGGAAGAAGAAACAATGGCATAAACAGAAACTGTTGGCGCTCTGCGCGGATCTCCTCGATCTGCGCTGGGTCCCGCTCCCTGGTGCGCTCCGCGCGCCAGAGGCGGCGCCGGAGAGGCCGCCGGGGGGGGGGCCGCGCGGCGCGAAGCGCCAAACGTTTATGTTTATGTCGTTTTTCCTTCTTCGGGTCACATCGGCGATGCATCGGCGACTTTGGATACGCATCAGCGCCGTTGGCGTGGAGAACATCGGGCGCCATATCTAGCAGCATCGGCAATGCTCCACGGGCCCTCAAATATGTAAAACAGTTGTCCAAGACGGCCCGAGAAGGGTACCAACATGCCCAGACGACCAGGAAGCACTCAAGATGGCATCAGGCGGCCCAAGACGCTGAACATGGCCCCAAGAGGACCACCAAGAGAGCTGGAAGAGCACAATTCACTGATTCGGCGTGGGTGTTCGAATGATTTTGGGGTTCTCGCCTTTTCGTGCGTCTGCAACCCTAGCACTGCGTGAGAGACCCCCCGTCAAAGAGGCCCCCAATAAGGCCTGGAGACGGCTCAAGAGAGCCCCAAGAGCCCCAAGATGGCCAAAGAGGCTCCCAAGTCTAAGACAGGCCCCAAGAGAGGCCGAATACACAAGAGAGGCCCAAGAGGGGGAACCCGCAAGGACCACAGGAGCCCTCCCCAGAAGATGGCCGCCAAGACCCCGACGTGACCCCAAGATTCCCGCAAGAACACCCCAGGGGGCCCGAAACGCCCCCAAGAGCTTGGAAAAAGCTTCCAGAGGCTCCACCCTGGGCCTGCAGTGGGCACCCAGAAGCCCCGCAACAGACACGGAGAAAGAGGATGACGAAACAACAACAACAACAACTACACGCAGTTAGCAAGCCGGGAAATGGCAAACAACACACACACACACACACACACGCACAATCGGAATGGCTATGCCTTTAGAACGGACTACTCGGACCCCGTTTGGGAGGCCTGGATCACAGGCGCCAGGCGCTATTAGCGCTGCCAGCGCCGCTGCCTTGAGAGGCCTCCTAGATGGGGTCCGAGTAGATGGGGTCGGAGAATCGGGCCGTATCGCCGATGCATCGGCGATGTATCGGCGATGCATCGGCGATGCACCGGCGATGCATCGTCGACGTGGGTGATGCATCGGCGACGTCGACGTGGAGGAAATCGGGCCCCACATCGAGCCGCATCGTCGATGCATCGGCGCTGCGGCGCAATCCTCCGACCCCATCTACTCGGACCCTATCGAGGAGGCGTAGAGCCTTCGAGGTCGCTGAAGGTCCTGGACGCGAGCCTCTCGCTGCTCACAGTCCGGTGGCGCTGGGGCGACGGCGTGACCGAGCGGCTCTGCAGCTCGCTGCCCGTCGTCTGCGAGAGCTGCGGCTGCTCGGCGACGCCGCTGCCCAGGGGGTCGTCCTTTGGGGCCCCAGAAAGGCACGGCCCCAGAAAAGGTACGGCCCCAGAACCCCAACGAAGGATAGCTCTTCGCTCGTTCGGGAGCGGCCAAGAGGGGGGTGTCCAAGAGAGGGGGGCGCAAATCATGACCGGCGGCATGTGCGCGGCCCACCGGGGGCCCCAGGGACGTAATGGAATAAGACGAGGCGCCATGAAATCTGGGGAAGTATCATGGCCCCCGCCATGATATCCACCCCCCCTGGTCATCACCCTCCTCTTTGCCGTCCCCGACTCGCGGCGGGCAATTCTTCGCCCATTGGCCGGGCCTCGAGACGGTCAACAAAGCTGCTCAGGAGCAGAAACTGGTCTCCGGGGAGGGGTCCAGACCTCCGGAGGCCCAGGTCACAAGAACAACAAGCAACATGACATCTGGGATCTGTGAAGGGGCCCTGGGACACACAAATAAAAAGATTCCATATATTTTCCTATATTTTCTGGGTTTTTGTCTTCCCCCCCACTTCCCATATTTTCTGGGGAATCGACGATTCATTGTGTCTGCGTGTTTTTTCCCCTCCTGCATGGATATGGGAAGGGTGCCGTGACAGACCGTGCGGTGGCCTCGGCATCCCCAAAGGCCTCACCGCCCGGTCCCTCACCGCACGGTCCTGGGGGATCTCGCAGGCCCCAGTTGCTGGAGGAGACATCCTCCGAGAACGACCTGAGACTCGAGACCGTGCGGTGACCCTGAATCCACACCGGCTCACCACGCTGGACCTCTTCCAAATGCTTGGTGTTCTCCAGCGGCCATTCCGGACGATCAGGGCACACCGACGAAAACTGCAAAAAAACCCGAATCCCCACTGGCGCACCACTCGGTGTGGTCGTCTTTCTTTTTCTCTACCACTGGCTATGCCAGAATAGCTGCCGTTACCTACTGCTCGGGAGACTTGGGGTGACAGATTCTATACTTGGAGACGGCACCACGGTACGTAACCAGGCGCAGCAACACTCGAGAGACTGTCGAAGCTGGACATCGGCCCTCGCATTGGCATGCGATCGAACTCGATAAATCAAACCCCACCGATTTGGGGATCACCGATGTCCGCGGCCGCGGCCGCGCAGCTGTCGACGTCCCGGAACATGGCGATCAACCAGTTGTCAGTGTAGAAGTCGTCCACCGGCGGCACGCTGGGCGGGTCCTCGCACGGCCGGTAGCCAGCCTGCCGCGAGCGGCGCACGCCTCCGAATCCGCACCCGCGCTCTCTGGCCATCGCTCGGACGTCCATGTCCTGTGTTTTTGTTTTGGTTTCGCGCGTGTTTTTTTTTCGCCAAGTGATCCAGGATGCTCCTCGATGGTCCTCGCCGAAGGGAAAAATGCACACGTCCGAGCGATGCCAAGCTCTGGCGACGTCTGGCCTCCGGAGGCGCGATCCCGCGGAGGCGCGATCGCACGGCTACGTGCCGCCGGGGACGTGCGCGAACAAAACGCCCCGCGGCCGCCGGGTCGCGGCCCAGGGGCCCGGGCCAGCGAGTCCGCGGGTATACGGATACGTGTCGAGGCGTTGACCAAAGGAACCCTGAATAAGGAACGAGGCCCCTTTTCCCAATAATCAGGGGGGCGTACGATCCGGGTACAGGGGACTCGGAAATCCCCGACGAGGTCGTCAAAAAAATGACGAGGCCGAGCCTGCATTTTGACGAGGCCTCCCGCTGCAGACATCCCACGAAACTCCTACTCGTCAAAATCCGAGTCGCGGTCGTCAAAAAACGATGGCGAACCCGAGTCCTGGCAAACCCGGGTCTTACGCTCCCCCGAAATAAGTTGAACCTCGATTTCCTATGGAAAACCCTCAGGAAAACCCGAGGCAGACTTTGAAACAATCAAGGAGCGCCGAGCCCCTCCCCAACGGAAAGGGTTCCTTCTGCAGCGCCCCGACTGGATGTGTTCTTCGCCCACGGTGCCTGGCACATCTTGTTGAGGGCGTCGATGGGGCTCCTGGCGATGCACGCGTTGTGCAGCTGGTAGTCGACGCCCGGCAGCTGCCGCGGGGAAGTCACAATCCAATCCTGGCGCCAGGGGAGGTAAGCAATACGGTCAATGTTCGGTTGTTGCTCAACGTGTCGCGGCGGTGACCTTGGCGACGCGCTATGCCCTGCAAGCAGATAGCGTCAGGTCGGGCCTGTCCCCCTACAGGGGGATTTTGGGCGAACAAAACTAAATTACTCAAAACAAATCCCCAAATGCTCAAAACTACTATAAAAATCGTCCCCGGACTAGTTTTTCACTCTTGTTTGAACTTCCTCCTGTAGAGGGACAGGCCCGACTTAAATATATGATTGAATTGGCATCTTGCCTGGCCAGGCGATGACCAGATGCACAGGAAGGAGAGCGGAACAACCACAGGCATCCTGATAGACTGTCGGAGGTCCGCTTGGATCGCTTAGACCAGCGCTGGATCCCCCCTCCATAGTGCGTTACGCGCGCAAAAGGCGGCGCTGGAGGCGCCGCCAGGGAGGTCCAGCGCCGATCCACACGAGGCCCTGTCGGACGAACACGCTAACAGACAAGCTGCTGCAAGAAGGGGCGCTAGAGAAGGAACGAAGCCCCTTCTTGGCGCCAGAAGGGCCTGGGTGCACGAGGAGGACTAGAGGAACAACCACGGAATGACCTAACGAACAGCGAGCCCCTTCCGAAACCAACTCGTCCTAGTTTCAGCGTCGTGACTGTAGAGAAGGAACCGATTCATGCCTCCTAGATGGAGTCCGAGTAGATGAGGTCGGAGGATCGCGCCGCATCGCCATTGTATCGCCGATGCATCTGCGATGCATCGGCGATGCATCGGCGACGTCGGTGATGCATGGGCACCATAGGCGTGGAGAAACCCAGGCATCAAATCGAACAGCACCGTCGACGCGGAGCGATCCTTCGACCCCGTCTACTAGGACCCCATCTGGGAGGCCTGGAGTTGGCGGCGCGCACAAGGGGGTAGAGGGAGTGGGGAGGGCTTATTAGAAGGAGGCTGCTCCGGCCTTACATCTGTAGATGAGGTCTGCACCTTCTAAGAAGCAGGGGTGCTTCTAAGAAGCCCTCCCCCCTCCCCCCACCCCCCTCTGCGCGTGGCTGATTGTGAAGGGGCCCTGGGACACACAAATAAATACACACAAACAAAAGGATTCCCCATATCTTCTCATATTTTCTGGGTTTTCGTCTTCCCCCCTCACTTCACATAGAATCGACGATGCATTGTGTCTGTGTGTTTCTTTCCCTCCTGATTTTTGTTTTTTCCCGAGACCGTGGCCCTGCGAGGGACCCCCGAGGCCAAAAAATCAGCAAACAACAAAAAACCGGAGGACGAGGAGGAGGAGGAGAAGGAGGAGAAGGAGGACGAGGAGGAGGAGGAGGAGGAGGAGGAGGACGATTCATTGTGTCTGTGTGTTTTTTCCCCTCCCGAGCTTGCGTCGGTCGCACAGGCCAAAGGGCCGCTCCGCAAGCACCCGGTCGTGGGGACCGGGCGTGGCGCCTCTCTGGCCTCGCGCTCTGGCGACGGCAGCACGGAGGGCGAGCTAACTAGCCGAGGCACCGGCGGCCCCCCCCCCCCGTGGCGCCGGAGGGGACGAGGCCAGGACGAGGCCAGGACTAGGATAAACGCGGGCGAGGTGCAATGAAGGGGAACTGGGACACACAAATGAACAAACACAAATAACCAGATTCCCCATATTGTCCGATATTTTCTGGGTTTCTGTCTTCCCCCCCACTTCCCATGCTTTCCGATATTTTCTGGGTAATCGCCGATTATTTGTGTCTGTGTGTTTCTTTCCCTCCTGATGTAAGACGAAGCCAGGACGAGGATGAATTCGGGCGAAAATACATAGAGAATTTCCAGTTCTGGCGGCTCTGGAAGATCTCTCGGGCGCCGCGGCCTTCTCAGAACGTTCCGGAACGCTCTGAGAGCGTTCCCGAACGCTCTGGAACGGATCTGGCCTCGTCCTAGCCCCATCCAAAACATGATCCAGAAATCTGGCGGTCTATCGTTCTCAATTCTCGGCCCCAGAGGCTCTTGATAACACGAAAACCCACCACCACCAGAACTCTCCATTCGGGGATGGACAGACCTCCCTTTAGTACAACGTGGTTTAGTGAAAACGACCTCGGGCCCAAACCTGGCGGGCGCAAGCCTGGAAAATAACGGCCACGGCGCCCTCTCGAGAACCGAAAACGGACAATTCACTAATCGACGTGTTGCTGTTGGGGGTTCTGTCCACCCCCGATCCGTAGAACTCCGTTCCCAACGCCCCCCCCCCCGCCGAGCACTCCCCGAGGCTGCGCCCGGAACGGGCTGCTACCAGCTCGGGGGGGGGGGGGGGGAGGGAGGTGGCTCTTTCTGCTGTGGTGAGAGGTCACGGACGACGAGAGGAGAGGAGGAGGAGGAGAGGAGGAGGAAGGAGGAGGAGGAGGAGAGGGAGGAGAGGAGGAGGAGGAGGGGGAGGAGGAGGAGGAGGGAGGAGGAGGAGGAGGAGAAGGGAGGAGGCCCCTTCCCCGGGGCCAGCGTTTCGTCCCACGACCCGTTTTTCCAGTGCCACCCCACGACCCCCCCCGCGACCCATCCCGCGACTCACCCCGCGACCCACCAGGGATCCACACACACAGCTCTGAAGAAAGTCGGCGCCTGCGGCGGGCCCGTTGTGTCATTCTTCAAAACCCAGAGAGTTTCGGCGCTGGCGGCGGGCTTCTTCGGAGCCTCGCAAACTGCCCACGGCCCCGCCGCCCTGCAGCCCATCTGGCCCGAGGTCCCCGCTGATATTTTCCCTTTCCTCGTCCTCCTCCTCCTCGTCCTCCTCCTCTCCTTTTCCTCACCCCTCCTCCTCCTCCTCCTCCTCCTCCTCCTCCTCCTCCTCGTCCTCCTCCTCCTCCTCCCCCTCCTCCGCCTCCTCCTCCTCCTCCTCCTCCTCCTCCTCACCCCTCCTCCTCACCCCTCCCCTGGCCCGAGGTCCCCGCTGTACTCGGAGCCGAAGCGCAGGCGCACGTAGCACCGCGTGGTGCGCCGCGGCGGCGCAAAGTCCGCGCAGGCGGCGTCGGCCCAGAGGGGCGGCGCGGGGGGCGCCGGCAGGCGGGCGCCCGGGCGGGACAGGCCGGTGGCCGTGCCTGGCGCGAGGCTTCGGCGGCAGCTCACGGGAGCCTCCCCTGCCATCCCGTCGGCTCGTGCGAGTCGACGCTGATCGACGCTGAATCGACGCTAAATCGACGCTAGCCGACGCTATAGATCGGCGCTGTCTCATCGACTGCAGAGGCCAATCGACGCCAGCCGACGCTAAAAACCGGATTAAGAGGGTATACCAGGCTCCCATGATTTGCCACCGAACGAGCCGGCCCCAGACCTTCGACGATGTGCGCTCATCGATCCGACGACATGCGCTCCTTCGATTCCAGAGTTCGCTTCGGTTCCTTGGGGTGCTCGCATGTGGGCGACTTCGGAAACCCTGCACCCAAAAATGTTTGCATCTCTTAGAGGCGCAAATTTTACTTCCGCCGCCTTCCATGGCCCTTCCGCTAGCTTCCGCCAGCTTCCGCGGGCGGAGGCGGCCTCGTTTTACTTCCGCCGAGCCTTTCGCCGCCCTTCCGCCGACTTCCGCCGAGGAAGAGATGACAACTGCTTCTCTATCCTCGAAGGCACGGACATTTCTGGAACGCCTCATTTGTTCTCTCCTCAGGATGCGTCTCCGCAGCTGCGCCTCGAAGAAGGCGTTCCAAGGGTGCCAGGATCGTCCCAAACGGCCGCGGGAGCCCCGAGTTAAGGCATCAAAGCCAAACTCCCCAGCAACATCGTGCGTCGCATAATTTTTGTTTTCTCGACCTCGGCCCCTGTGGCCTGTTATTCATTGGGCTCAGAGGCCCTCAAAAACGAGCCCTGGGGAGAACATCTGGCCCCATGGAAGGGATCGGGGCCTCTGGGGCCGCGCATGGATCACAAAACCGGAAACCTGGGAAGAAGATATTGAACAGGGACCGACCGTGCCGGCATTCCCATAGTCATACCACGAAATGTTCTTAGAACCCAAAAATGTTCTAAGAACAAAAACCATGTTGTTGGAACATAAACCCGATGTGTTAAAACGAGACAGCCCCAGCCAGAACTGTTCTAAGAACATTTCCTGGGAACCACAAAAAAGCTTAGAACATTGTTCGGTGGGGCTATAGGCGAGCCGGGACGCTTCGCCACTGCTTGAGGATAGCGTTTTCCATCTTTGACGATAGCGGCCGTCTCTGGCCCCGGCCGACTTTCCCCCCCCAAGGCAATGTCACGATCCGTGCTGACCTCCGTGGTTATGCCTACTTACAGTCGGGGCGTTGACCTAAGGAACCCTAAATAAGGAACGAGGCCCCTTTTTTCCATAAGTTGAACTTCGATTTCGTATCGGAAACCTAAGGAAAATCCAGGGCAAGGTGCGAAACAATTAAGGAACACGGAGCCCCTCCCCAACGAAAAGGGTTCCTTGTTCAGCGCCCCGACTGTAGTCGGGGACGCAGTGACCAGGGTCAATGCAAACCCAGGTCAGTCGGGGATCCTGCAGGATCCTGCGCGCGAACCTGGTCAGTGCGCCCCTGGTTTTGCAGGATCCTACAAGCTTCGGCTGGCTGTCCCCAAATGACGTCTCACGGCTCCCGGCCTAGACGTTCCCAGATGGCGCCGGCGCGGAACGTGACGATTCCAGCCCCCCGCCCACCACCTCCCCCCCTCAGTACTGCGTTATTGCGCACGTCATCGCCTGGGACTGGAGATCCTTTCACGAAGGCGTCCAAAGACCGGTGTCTCTGCCCTCCAGCAGGATCCTGAGCTCTACCCCAGGTCAGTGCAACCCTGGCAACGCAGGATCCTGCAAGATCCGGCGCTCTGGCTGACCCCCCCTTTGCGTCGACCCCCGTCTCGAGGGCCCCGACGCAGGAAACAGGGCCCCTCTCTGGGCCTCTGGGGCCGTTCAAGAGACGATGCAGGACGAAGAGCTGGTCCCGGAAAAGGCCTCCTCGGACAGAGGCGGACCTGGGCGACGACAACGACCACGACCACGACCACGGCGACGGCCGACGACGAATCCATGCGCCAAGGAAGCCTCGGGGCGCACCAGTCGTGGTCGCCACGGGGCGTTTCCGAGCCCCCAGGCCGCAGACGATCGGGATGTCCCCCAGGGGGAACAGGTGCACCCGCACATGACCTGACATCGCACCCCTCCAACCTATACCTTCCCTTTGCGCTCGTTTGGTCTTTCTCCGCGGGCGCGCGTCATGTCGGACCTGGAACGCCCCTCAAAAGACCCGATCAAGTTATGCGAAACCGGAACGGGGGAGGAAAAGATGGAGGATGAGGGAGGAGGAGGAGGAGGAGGAGGAGGAGGAGGAGGAGGAGGAGGAGGATGGAGGATGAGGGAGGAGGAGGAGGAGGAGGACGACGACAACGACGACGACGACGAACTGCAGCAGCAGCAGCAGCAGCGGCGGGAAGGACGGGGAGGAGGGGAATGAGGTGATGAGTTGTAAGCGGGAAGGGGAGGAGGGGACACCGAGAGAAAAACGCCAGAGATCTGGGTTTGCCCTGGAGGGGGCCGGGGGATCTGAACAGCATGGGCCTCAAGTACATCTGTCAAGTTGGGCGGGATAAGGGCAAGTCAATCTGCTCAAAATCAATGAATGCACGGACCGATCCGGCGGTGCATCTGGTGCAACTTGCTCAACCCTGATCCGTGTTGACGGCCCCGGGGCGGGACAGCAGCCAGCACAGACCAAAACAGGCAAAAACCCTGTTCGAGCCCAGCACCTCGAACCGCTCCCCCCCTCCGTCCTGCTCGCTGGGCCAACTGCTGGGCCAGCTCAGACCCCCAGCCGACTCCAAGAGGAGGGGAGCACAGCGCCTCGGAAGAGCTCGTCAGCCAGACCACGCCCTTAAGGAGGAGGAGGAGGAGGAGGAGAAGGAGGAGGAAGCGGAGGAGGCGGAGGAGGCGGAGGAGGAGGAGGAGGAGGAGGCGGCGGCGGCGGCGGCGGAGGGGGGGAGGCAGTCGGCGGACCTCCTTCCGTATTGGCCGAGCTGCCAGTGGTGGAGGCCAGGCCGTCCATTCTGCAGTGGAGTCCAGTCCGCAAGGGACCTTCCACGAGAAACCCAACCCTGAGACCCCAGGACGTCCATGGAAGTTTGGTGTGGGAACGTCGCGCCTTCCACAGCAAAACCCTCGAGACCCAAGAAACCCAGGCCACCCTGGAGGCAAGCAGGGTGTTTCTTGGCATGGGCCTCCAATGTAGGCACGAGCGTCTCTTGCGACATCGCCCGTCGCACATGGAACGTGCGCAGCCCCGAGCCCGAATAGCAGCGCAGGCGGGCGCGCCACGGGAGGAGTCCGAGGCACCGGAGAGCTTGTGGGAGACTCCTGCCCCCGTCTGATGGGCCGATGTTCCACCACCACTGTCGTAGGTAGGAGAGGGAGAAACAAGAGAAGGAGGAGGACAAGGAGGAGGAGGAGGAGGTGGATGAGGATGAGGATGAGGAGGAGGAGGAGGAGGAGGAGGAGATGAGGGAGGAAGACGCGACGGCCTCAGCAAGCCAACGCTTGTCCAGCGTAAACAAAGAGGAGGCTGAGGAGGAGGAGGAGGAGGACCTCCCCATCCTGCCTTCTCCCCCGTCCTGCCTACGGTAGCGGTGGAGGAAGCCTCGGCCCGTCAGCTTCGTCCCCGAGACCCCAGAGAAAAAAAACAGCTCTCGAGGAGCCAGAGCGGGACAACAAAAGGCGCCGGAGGCCCTCGCCTGCCCCCCATAGGGGCCTCCTAGTTGGGGCCCGGGTAGCTGGGGTCGGAGGATCGCGCCGCATCGGCGACGCATCGGCGATGCATCGGCGATGCATCGGCGATGCGCCGGCGACGTCGGCGATGCATCGGCCTCCCCCGAGGCTTCCGACGGCTCGCCGACCAACAGAGAACAAGAGAAGGGGCCCTGGGACACACACTAAATGAATACGCACAAAACGGCGATGCATCGGCGATGCATCGCCGATGCTGGGGCCATGCATCGACGACGTCGGAGACGCATCGGCGACGTCCGCGTGAATCACAGCGGGCTCCACATCGAGCCGCAATTGCCGATGCATCGGCGGTGCGGCGCGATCCTCCGGCCCCATCTACTCCGACGCATCTCGGAGGCCCAGGGTTAGATCGGGCATGGCCTCCTAAAGACGGCTTTTGGGAGAAAGACAACCAATGGTCCACAGATGTTCCGAAGTCTTCGAAATGACCCCCCACAAAAAAAACATGTTATCCTTAAGTCGGGCCTGTCATCCTACAGGGGGATTTTAGGCGAAAAATGAAAATACTCAAAAAATACTCCGAGATGGTCAAAAATAGTGGAAACCAAATCGTGCCCAGACTATTTGTTAACTATTTTTGAATATCTCTCCTGTAGAGGGACGTGCCCGACTTAATATAATCTTTGACCGCTTTTGAAGATTCCTCCTGCACGGGGACACGCCCGACTTCAGCCCAGAGTCTGGGCTTAGCCCCCCCCCGAGGCACCGCAGCGCGCGTATGACGCCCTGCTCGGCGGGGGCCGCGCCCCCTCCGCCGCGGGGGCCTGGGCGACGAGGTCGGCCGGCTGCTGCGTGCCGCCGAGGGCGGCGTGGAGGGCGCCCAGCCCGTAGAACTCGGCCTCCCCCGAGGCTCCCGACGGCTCCCCGACCAACAGGGAGCAAGAGACGGGGGCCCTGGGACATACACACACACACACACACACACACACACACACACACACACACACACACGCACACACACAAAGAAATACACACAAAGAAAAGGATTCCCCATCTGTTTCCCCATACCTTTGGGGTGTTCGTCTTCCCCCCCACTCTGCCCATAGTCCCCATGTTTTCCTGGGAGTCGATGATGCATCGTGTCTGTGTGTTCTTTTCTCCCTCCTGGAAGAGCCGGTGCGGCTGGTGTTGGCAGCCTTTCGAGGCCTCCTGGATGGGGTCCGAGTAAGTCGGAGGGGGTCGGACGGTCGCGCCGCATCGGCGCCGCATCGGCGATGCATCGGCGATGCATCGGCGATGCGCCGCCGACGTCGGCGATGCATCGGCCTCCCCCGAGGCTTCCGACGGCTCGCCGACCAACAGGGAGCAAGAGAAGGTGCCCTGGGACACACAGGAAATAAATACGCACACAAAGAACAGGATTCCCCATATGTTTCCCCATACCTTCGGGGTGTTCGTCTTCCCCCCCACTCTGCCCATAGCCCCCATGTTTTCCTGGGAGTCGATGATGCATCGTGTCTGTGTGTTTCTTTCCCTCCTGAACGAGCCGGTGCGGCTGGTGTTGGCAGCCTTTCGAGGCCTCCTGGATGGGGTCCGAGTAGTTAAGTCGGAGGGGGTCGGAGGATCGCGCCGCATCGGCGCCGCATCGGCGATGCATCGGCGATACATCGGCGATGATACATCAACGATGCGCCGGCGATGCATCGTCGACGTCGGCGATGCATCGGCGACGTCGACGTGAAGCAAACCGGGCTGCACATCGAGCCGCATCTGCGATGCATCGGCGATGCGGCGCGACTCTCCGACCCCATGTGCTCCGACCCCATCTGGGAGGCCCCGACTCCGACGCTCCAACAAACAGATTGCAGCGGCTTGTCTCGGCAGACTTCGTCCTCCCGGGAGCCCTCGCTGGGCCCAAGGGCTGTCGAGCAACGGCTCGGGAAGCAAAGCCGGCCCCGGGGAAGGGGTCCAGACCTCCGGGACCCCCGCATCGAAAAAGTGGGAGCGGCCGGACGTCTGGGTCTCGAGGGGCAGCGGTGATAGGGAGACCAACCTCGTGATACGCACGCTCGCGCAATGCGCACTCTCGGAATCAACGCGGACTCATGTACGTGTGCGTGTCCTCTTCTCGCCCGAGGCCAAAGACTTGCCCCCTGGGAATGCCCGGAGAAGCACCCGTCGCGCAGACGCCAGACCAGGCCGAAAGTGTGTGGGGCCGGCGCCGGGCCCGTGCGGCCCCTCCTGGCGCCAACCCCCCGGGCGTGCTGCGCGCTCCACCATGGCCCAGGCATCGACGTCCTCGCTTCCTCACAGCGCCCCCCCTCCCGAAGTCCTGACTCCGTCCCCGGGGCAGGTACTTTTTTGATTCGCGGGTCGAGAGCGCACCTCCTCCGGTCGAAGCTAGGCGGGCCGCGCACAGCTTGAGTTAACAAGAAGGAGGGGCAGAAGGAGGGGCCTCACGTCAAGGCCAGGAGGGGGCAAAGCCCCAGAATCAGGCTGTGCCGGGGCAGGTACAGCCGAAAACATGATTCAGGAAATCATGGTTTCGGAAACCTGGGCCAGGTCCCCGAAGTCGCGTGAAGGAAGCCTGGGCCCGCTTTGTTGAGGACTGCTGTAGGGGCGAACGTGCTTGAGAAACTGGGCCATCGTTCTGGCAAGTTGGTCAAGCAACGCTGGCCCAACTTTTCCGGAGGACGTGTCCTAATCACATGCTCGACCGCATTTCGTCCCAGACCCATTTCTGACAACGCTGGGCCCGAGAACGGGCCCCGAAGGCCGAAATCAAGGTATACAATGCGTGCATGGTGTGTAGAGGTGTGTGGGTGTGCGTGTGCGTGTGCGTGTGCGTGTGCGTGTGCGTGTGCGTGTGTGTGTGTGTGCGTGTGTGTGTGTGTGTGTGCGTGTATTGTCAAATGTTTCTGATGCTGTTCGACCTGTGGTCCGTCTTGCGTCGGGCGTTGCTCATGCGACTGTGGTCGTGGTCGCTCTGTCTTCTCCTGGTACCTTTGCTTCTGGGCTCCCGCTCCCTCCCCTCCTCTAAGTCTGGGGTCTGGGGAAACTACAAGGTACCGATGCCGCTGCTCCCTGGACCTCTCCAGGGGTGCGCTCTGACCGGGGTTCCGAGGTGAATCCAGCGGTGGCGACGAGGGCATCCCGGGAGGCCCAGAGAGGGGAAGGCGAGGAAAGGGTGGAGGTATGAGCACCCTCTCCCCCTCTGGACTCAGTTGGCTCCGCACCGAGGCTCCGAGGCCCCCCCCGCCCCGCAGCAGCAACACAGGACGAGCGGTCATCCCCCGCCCCTCGGCAGGGCTGGACCTAAACGGTGTGTTTGTTCCGTTTTCGTTTTGGTTTCGTTGTCCCTCGCGTTTGCCTCGAGTCCGCCTCTACCGCAAGACGAAGTCGGAACGAACACGGCCCACGAGAAATCGCCCAAAGCACCGCTTAGGCCCAGCCCTGCCCCTTGGACCCCGAGGAGGCAGCACGCAGGCCGACGCCGCGCACGCGCGCGGCCACGGCGCGGCAAAGGGGGGGGGGACGCGGGGAAGCGGGCGTACCGCCGGACCTGGGCCCGACATGGCATGCCTCGCGAACGTGGAGGCCCTCCGTCGGCCCGGACACACGGGGCATACAGGTGCACCTGCGTGGGCCCTGGAAACGACAGGGCCGTGTTTTTACCGGTTCCGTGTTGCCGTTTTTGTTGCCCGTTCCGACGCCGTTTCTGTTACTGGTTCCGTCGCCGTTTTGTGACCGGTTCTGGCTCCGGTTCCAATCCTGGAGCCGTTTTTGTTGCCGTTTCCGGTCGCCGTTTTTTTGCCGTTTCCATTTTCAAGGGACAATTTTTTGGAAACGGTGAAAGAAACGGCTCTGCCGTTTCCGGGGCCCACAAAGAAGTGCACCCTCCCCAGGATGAACAAGAGCATCCAGCACAAACGGAGAACATCGGGGCACTCTCCCCGAACCGGGCTTTGATCTTATACCTCGGTCCGGCTGCAGCTTCACTCTCGGGAGTCCGAGTTGGAGGCGGATGGGAGGTCTGCTGAACAAACTAGTTGGGACCCCAGGAAATCAGCCAAGAGGGGGGATGAAGCCACAGAGTGGAGGCCAGTCCACGAGAAACCTTCCACAAAAAACCCAACCCTGAAACCCCAAGTGACTTTTGGTGTGGGTAACCCCAAAACGTCTTTAATAAGCCCCCGGGCAATACTGGAAAATCAATATTTTTTCCGCCGGCTTATTGACGGATTGGGACCCCGACTAGAATTGGAAATTAATTATTCTCGTGGGCGGATGCATGAGAGGTCATGAGAAATGATCCAACATCCCATCGCTCAACGCTTGGCGGCCTCCTCCTCCTCCTCCTCCTCCTCCTCCTCCTCCTCCTCCTCCTACTCTCCGACACACCACCGCCACCGCTGCTGCACGCACTGGAACATGCACCGCGGAGGAGGAGGAACGAGTCGAGTTTCTATTCCCCGCCGAGAGCTTAGGGGGGGTGCATCATTAAAGACCCTCTGCGATTACGTCACGCATTCCATAGCGAAACCATCGAAGCCCACTAAAACCAGGGGACCCTGGAGGCAAGCAGGGTGTTTCTTGGCATGGGCCCCCACGGTACGCTCAACATCTGTCCCCGAACCACTCGTGGTGTCCATCTGGTGCAATTTTTCAACGCGGATCAGTTTTTCACTGCCCCGGGGGCCCGAGAACAGACCCCAACGCTCAACAGAGGGAACAAACAAAAGCCGTCCCGCGCCCAGAACCTCGAAGCTGCCCGCCTCCTGCTGGCCAGAGCCAGTGCTGGACCACCTCAGGCCCCCAACTTAGAGCTCCAAATCTGCCTCGGCTCCATCATCGTGGATGGGTCCTCGCGCGCGATGTGTTTTCTTGTTTGTTGTCCTAAGGGTCTGGCGTTTCTGTTTTCCTTTGGGCCTCGCGAGGTGTTTGTCCTCGCGTGTGGCGGTGTTCTTAGCTTTAGGTCGGGCACGTCCTCCTACAGGCAGATGTTGGAGGACGTGTTTCGTTTAAGAAAGGCAACAGATATGGAGAAATAGCTAAAAGTAATCTACAAAAAATCCCCAGACTATTGTTTGACTATTTCTGAATCGTCCCGCCAATTTTGGTGTCCGGCTGGGTTCCCGGATTCCCGGTTCCGGGTTCCCGGGTTCCTTGTTATTGGTTCCGGGCCGATCTCGGTGGGCTCCGGGTTCCCAGGTTCCTTGGGTCCCGTTCGATCTCCTTCTCGATCTCTTGATCCATCCCACGGTGCACTATCGATCTCAGAATCGATCTCCCGAATCATCTCAATCAGTCGATCTCACCGTCGAGCTCATCGAACCATCCACTGACCGTGGGTCTCCCTCTGGTGCCAGATGTTTGCCCCCCCCCCCCGGGGGCCTCGCGCAGCAGCTCCAGCCGCAGGCCGCGGCTCAGCCCGATCGGCGGCGAGCCGTCGCGCAGGAAGTTCAGCACGTGGTGGAAGAGCCGGCCGTCGCGGTCGAGGCAGAAGTGGCCCTGGCCCCAAGACTTCCAACCCTAGGAATTGCGAGCGTTTTCTTATTCTCGAACACGGGATCGACTACGGAACAGATTTACCCCAGAATCGATTTTCACGTCGACTCTTCAGCAAAAACACATCAACCATTCGTAGATCTGCGAAGGTTCTACTAGTTGCCCGTGGATTCGACAAAAAATGTATTCTGGGGCAAATCAATTCTGTAGTCAATCCCCTACTCGATATTCGGCGTTTCGACCTTGGGCGGAAGGGGGGGGTTTGGCTCCGGACCTCTGCTTAGTGCGACTGTTTGAAAGAGTGCTGCCTCTGGAAGAGACTCCACCCGCTCGACACAGGCGCCAAAGAACAACCAGGATCTGCTCCATGGGGGGGGGCGGGGGGGATGCGAGGGCCCGCGCCGATCGGCAAAAGAACGCGTAAAAAAACGACGACCTTCGAACCCTAGAACAAAAAAACAACGCCATAAACATAAACTTTTGGCGCACCGCGCGGATTTCTCGTATCGGCGCTGAGCGCCAGGGGCGGCGCTGGAGGCACGGCCAGGGGGCTCCAGCGCCAATCCGAGAATTCCGCGCGGACCTCAGATTTTTTATGTTTATGTCATGGTTCGTTCCCCTATACCTTCACTGGCCACCGCTCGGACGGACGTCCAATTCCCGTGCATGGTTCGACGTCGCGCGCGTCTCTTCCCCTGGATGACCCGGCATGGTCCTCCATGGTCCTCGCCAAGAAAAGAAGGCACACGTCCGAGCGACGCCAAGCTTAGGGTTTCTGCCGGCTCCACAAGAGGCCCTGAAGGGCCGCTTCAAGGCCCTCTTCTCAGAAGCCAGGCGAAGGCTGGCAAACCCGTGGCTGCTAAAACGGACCTCCGGGAAAGTTGTTGTTTTCTTCCGTGAGGCAACCCATTTTCTATTTAGTGTGCTGAGTGATGCTAATTGGAACCGGCGGTAAACCGTCAACCAGGTTACCGCCGGGAACCTCGTAGAGCTCTTTCTTGCACGGCGATCTTCGGAACACATGAAGAAAGCTTCTGGAGCGAGAAACAAGAAACTCGAAAAATCACGTTTTTCTGTTTTTATCCAACGTCGGTTCCTCCAAGTGTTTTGATAGTGAGACTGCACCTACGGACCTGAGAATTTGACTGGCAAACGCGGAATAACCCACTACAGGTGCGAAAAATCTGGTTTCTCAAAATAAATGGTCAAATATCTTTCAAATCTTAAGAAAACCGTCTCCAGGTCATCACATTTTAGTGTGCTGAGTGATGCTAATTCCGGGAAGACCGTTTGTTTCTTCCGGGAAGACCGTTTTAGCAGCCACGGATTTGCCAGCCCTCGCCCAGCTTCTGGTCTTCTTCGCCCCCCATCTAATAGGCCACTCCCCGGCACCGCCCGCCCCAGCTGCATTCCTGGGGCAGCACCTCCGGGCTGCACAGTCCCGAGCATCTTCCTGGGGTGGAGGGCTCAGGGTGAAATCCACATTGGCGTCTTGCACCTCGACAAGGAATCCGTCTTGCGATACACCTCTTGCAGCTTGGAGCCTCGAACATCCATCGGAACGGCACTGCAGATGTCGCCCTGTGCCCTCCAACCAGAAAGACAGTGCTCGGCAATCTTACTCGTATGGCGCTCTCAAGCCCGTGCCTTTTCAGTACGCGTGTCAACGTTTCGCCCCTGCTGGGGCTCGTCAGGACTCGAATGAAAATGGCAGCGGCATGCGAACACAGCAAGTGCATGATCGACACAATACTGCGTGCAATGCGATACGGCAAACAAAAACACATGCATGCATGCGACGACCTCTCAACAACACCCCTGTATTGGATGAATGCCGCCGGGAGGGGCAACAAGTCGTGCTCGCCCCGCAGCGTCGGCCCGAGCCCCTGGCGTCTCGTTCTCGCTTCGAGCGGGACGCTGTCGCCCGGGCTCGGGCCCCGCGGAAGCCTCACGCATCGACGCGGCTCGGGGAACTGGCGCGGGCAGATGGGGTCGGGGGCTCTGGTCGCGGTGTTGCATGATGCTGCTATGTTTTTCTCGCGTCGTCGGGCCTCAGGAAGTACCGTCGGGGTTGAGTGGAGAGGACACGCGGGAGGACGCACGACCCTTCCGAGGGCCACGTGGCCACAGGAGTGCGAGAGGGCATGAGTCGCGAAGCTCAGGACGCAAGGGGACCCTTGATTTGGCCGGGTCGTCCTCCTACTCTGGGTTTCTTATTCAGCCTTTGGGGGCTAGCCCCCCGGCGGGGGTCAACATCGCCTCGCCGCCGCGCCGCGACGGGGGGCGGAGCGCCTTTGGCCGCCCGCGACGGGGGTCGACGTGGGGCTGCCGGCGGGGGTGGCGCCCCCCCCACGCTTATTAAGAAACTCAGAGTAGTCAATGTGTACACTTATGTCGGCCGTGTCCCCCTACAGGGGGATTTTCGACGAAAAACAAAAAATACCCTAAAAATGATCCAAAAAGAGTCTGGGGACTATGTTGGGAGTATTTGTTCGCAGTTCTGATGCATTTTCGGGGTATGTTTGCTTCTTCGTCGCAAATCCCCCTGTAGGGGGACAACACGCCCGACATGAGTGTACCCTCGATTCGGCAGGGTCGACCCCCCCCCCTCGGGTCACAGGAAGGGGCCACGGCGGGCCGCCCCGTTCGCCACTTGATCTCGGCCTCCCGCGGGCCCGCGGGCGAGAGAGAGAGAGAGAGGCGGCCCGGGCTGCGAGGCCGGTCCCCGGGAAGGGGTGTCCAGACCTCCTGCGAGGGGGCCCCGGGGGACACACGACGAAGTACACGCACAAATCAAAGGATGCCCCCTGTTTTCCCTTATGTCTTCGGGGTCTCTGTCTTCCCCCCCCCCTCCTTCCTTCCCATATGTTACCATGTTTTCTGGGGAATCGACGACGAATTGTGTCTGTGTGTTTTTCCCCCTCCTGACTCTGGGGGTCCACGCCATGAACACATCGCGGCGTCGGGGGTCTGGGAACGGGGATTGTGGCGACCCCGATCCCCAGCGTTCTGCGGTGAGCTAAAGCTCGGGATGTACGACGGGTTGTGCCCATCCTCGATAGTGGTGCGTCCAAGTAATTAGCCCCCAGGGTGTGTAGCCCCGACTTTCTCCTATCTTCTGAGCGGCCTGACTTTTCGGTGAGAAGTTTGCGATTGGAACGAGAAATCGACTGCGATCGACTGTATTGGCAAAAACGAACCAAGACGGATGTGTGTGTTCGCAGTTCTGGCCTTTGGAAGCCCTCGCCGAGCCTTAGGACCTTCAAACACGAATCGGGATGAAAAACCGGCCCTGGAGAAATGGTCGCTGCAGAATTTGCCCTGATTTCCAGATATCCAACTAGAGGCCTCCTAGATGGGGTCCGAGTAGATGGGGTCGGAGGAGCTCGCCGCATCGCCGATACATCGGTGATGCATCGGCGACGTCGGCGTGGAGAAAATTGGGCCCAACATCGAGCCGCATCGCCGATGCATCGGCGATGCCGCGCGATCCTCTGACCCCATGAACTCGGACCCCATACAGAAGGCCTAGACTGACGGTATGATTTTTTCCATCAAGACGTTATTCGCAGATTTCAGAAATGCTCGTCGGTTCCCTATAGGGTTTTCTGGCCCCGGGACGCTTCCCCGCAGCTGCTCCTCGCCGAGGGCGTCCCGGGCTGCCAGGCTCGTCCCGAAAATCCGCCAGAGGCCCAAAGGACCAGATCTCCGACGACGTGATTCCCCAATCCGCGCTTGCACTGAAGGGGTCCTAGCGGATATTGACAGATCTGGCGAACATTTCCCGCCGATCTTGGTATGACTGGCTGGGTTCCTGGGTTCCGGATTCCCGGGTTCCCGGGTTCCTGGCCATTGGTTCCGGGCCGGTTTCGGTGGGTTCCGGGTTCCCGGGCTCCCGGGTTCCTGGTCGATCTCCTTGTCGATCTCTTGATCGGTCCCTCCTCCTCCTCCTCCTCCTCCCTTCTCCTCCTCCCTCCTCCTCCTCCTCCTCCTCCTCCTCCTCCTCCTCCTCCTCCTCCTCCTCCTCCTCCTACTCCTTCTCTTCCTCCTCCTCCTCCTCCTCCTCCTCCGATTGGGTTTTTTCTGTGGTGGTGTCATGTGTACTCGGCCCGCGGGTGTTTCATCGGCGTCGGCCCCGGGGGAGTTCGTCTGCGGGCCGCCGCGGGAGCATCAGGAAAGGGATCCGGGGCGAGAAGCTCTCGCCATCGCTCTGACGTCCATTCCGTGTGTTTTTGTTCGGTTTCGTGCGTGGTTTTTTCGCCAAATGGTCAAGGATGCTCCTCGATGCTCCTCGCCGAAGGAAAAAGGTACACGTCCGAGCGATGCCGAGAGCTGGCACCTGGGGAGGGGGTCAGGATCGAGGTCCCCTCGGGCCGCGCACTGGGACAAAATACTGTGTCGGCGGATGTCTGGGGATGTCGAGGAGGGGGATCGGCTCCAGATTCGAGAGGGGGATCTCGACAGGGGGAGTTCCAGAGGGGCATTTCGAGAGGGGGATGGACCCGAAGCTTGATTTGTCCATCGAAGCTACCCCAAAAAAGCGGAGCATGCTCGCTGACCTACGAACGTGATACGACTGATTTGTACATTCGACGAGGACATCAGTTTTGGGGCAAATCACTTTTGTCGTCGATCGATCCCTACCCGAGGGTTGAACACCCGCGGCGGGGTCGGAGTTCCTTCCTGGATCTGCGCTCCTGGGGCAGGAATTACTGGGGGGCGGTGAGCGGGGGGAAGAAAAGTGCCCTGCTCCGCCCCGAAAGGCCCCCTTTGGGGGCTTTCAAGGAGCCCCTTTCAGAGGAACAAACACTATGCAAAATGCACAGGTTCTGGCCAGGCCCATCCTGAGCCCAGGATCTGGAGCAAAGGCAGCTTGGGGCAAATCGATGTCGTAGTCGATCCCCTACTCGAGGGCTTGGGCACAGCAGCCACAGGGACCACCTCCGCCCCTGGGCCGTCCCGTGGCCCATGGTGCGGTGCACAGCCCCTCATGGCCGGAGAGCCTTGGAGGGGGCCGGGGGGTCTGAACTGGCCCGTGTCGAGCCATGGGTCCCCCCCCCCCGCGTCCTCGGGTTGGCCGCTCGGCGGCACTTCCCCACGCTGGGCCGCAGCAGGAGTGTCCCGCGCGTTCGGGGGGGAAGGGGGTCCCCCACCCCCTGTCGGTCTAGGCTTCGGTCGGGCATGTCCCCCTACAGGGGGATGTTTGACGAAAAGTCAACCATATCCCAAACATGTTCCAAACTATATATATATATACATATATATATATATATAGAGAGAGAATGTAAATATAAAGAAACAAAAAAACGTCCCCAGACTATTTGGGACTATTTTTGAATATCCCCCCTGTAGAGGGACAGGCCCGACTCAAACGGAAGAGGGCCCGCGCGCCGCCGCCCAAGGAGCGCGTGGCGCATACCGCGGACCCCGCGCCCCTCCTCGAGACCAAACGTGAGTTCTGCCCGCGACGCGGCGCCGCCCCAGAGCGCACGGTCGGGACGTGGACCTAAGGAACCCTAAATACGGTACGAGGCCCCCTTTTTCCCATCAGTTAAAGTTCGGTGTCTCATCGAAAGCCTAAGGAATACCTAAGGCAAGCTGTGAAACAATCAAGGAACACGGAGCCCCTCCCCAACGAGAAGGGTTCCTTCTTCAGCGCCCCGACTGTATGATGTTCCAACCGACTTCGTAGAAGCCTCCTAGATGGGGTCCGAGTAGATCGGGTCGAAGGACCGCGCCGCATCGCCAGTGCATCGCCGATGCATCGGTGATGCATCGGCGAGGCATCGCCGATGCATCAGCGACGTCGGCGAAGCATCCGCGACGTCGGCGTGGGGAAAATCGGGCTCCACATCGAGCCGCATCGCCGATGCATCGGCGATGCGGCGCGATCCTCCGACCCCATCTACTCCGACCCCATCTAGGAGGCCTAGACTTTAGCCTGGACCACCAGGAAGATTTTCGAGCACCAAACAAGAGCCCAAACTCGAGGGCTTCCACGCGCCGGGCCCTGGGAGATACTCGTCCGACACGGTTTCGGAACAGCTTCGACACTTTTCCAGGTGCTCGAAATTTGGGAGTCCCAAAACGGCGCGGTGACTGACCGTGCGGTGACCTCGAAATCCTCCCAGACCTCACCGCACGGTCCGTCACCGCACGGTTTTGGGACCCTGGAGGCCCCTGTCGCCCGAGACATCCTCGGAGAAGGACTCGAGTCCCAAAACCGTGCGGTGACCCCGAATCCCCACCGACTCACCGCACGGTGTGGTCACCACACCGTTTGGGGGCCCCCGAGAAATGGTTTCTGGGAGCACCCGAAAACGACATGACCAATGGGAACCAAGACTCCAGCGCTCGCGCCGAAGTCGGGCCACCGCAAGCGCACAACTATCCGACCCCCGTGGGCCGCGCTGCGCGCGTCGCCCAGCATGATAAAAACTTGCGCCGGACTTCGAGGCGCGCCGAAGGACTAATCGACCGAGGCGGGGGCACGAGGCCAACTACGCTCAGAGGAGGAGGAGGAGGAGGAGGAGGAGGACGAGGAGGAGGAGGAGGAGGAGAAGGAGGATGAGGAGGAGGAGGAGGAGGAGAGGAGGGGGCACGAGGCCAACTCCGCTCAGAATCAGTCCCCGGACCTCTCCCGGGGGTCCATGTGGTGCACATGTTCGCCGCGGATCCGTTCGTGACGGTCCTGCAGACCCGCGAACGCCCCCCCCCCCCCCTCCCCCCCCGGGAGGCTGCAAAAGGCCACAAAAGCACAAAGAAACCTTCTCGAACCAAGAACCTCGAGCCTGCCTGCCCCATCCCCCCTCCCTGCTGGCCGGAGCCAGGGCTCGGCCACCTCATGATGGGCCAGCTGTCCACCACCATTACCATAGGTCGGGCGGGGAGAAGGGAGGCTGGGGAGGTCCTCCTCCTCCTCCTCCTCCTCCCCTCCTCCTCCTCCACCTCCTCCTCCTCCTCCTACCCCCTCCTCCTCCTCGTCCCTCTCCTACCTATGGTAGTGGTGGCGGAACATCGGCCCATCACCTCAGGCCCCCAGCCAGCTTCAACCCGGCACGGTGCATCGGCCTGCTTGGCCGAGGCCAAGAGGGGTCCGCACTTTCTGCCCAGGGGCTCAGGGTAGCCCTGCCAAGCGGCGGTGGTGGCGTAAGGAACCGCAAAGGGTCTTTAGGGGAAACAGCCGCCAATAACCCAAACCCCCTCGCGTGGTGAAACAAAAATCACGACGGGAGTTTTTTTCCAATATTTTCGGGATGCGGGGGCCCTCACTAGGCCTCGGGACCCCTCGGGAACCAGTGCTGGGGAAGGAGTCCAGCCCTCTGGGGATCGACGTTGTGAACAACTCACGACGTCGGGGGTCTAGGAATGGGAAAATCCTTACATGACGCAGACTTGTTGACGGATTGGGGTCCCCACCCATACTTGGAACAAATTGTTCCCCCACGGCGGCCGACGCTGATGATCGGGGGGGATGAGGACCCGCGATGGTGATGATGACGGTGATGATGACAAGGAGGGAAGGACGAGGAGGGGCAGGACGAGGAGGACTGCCAGCCGATCGCTCGGGACGAACACAAACACGGACCTTACGCCAGATGGCATGGCAAACCTTACGCCATGGCTCACGCGGGCCGCCAGCGCGGCACGCTACATTGGAGACGAGGGCGCTCACGGGCGACCTTGCGCGGGCAACTTACGTGCCGCTGTTAGGGGAACAAAGAGTGGCATAAACAGAAAGACTCGGAGGTCCGCGCGGATTTCTCGGATCGGCGCTGGACCCCCCCTCCCTGGCGCGCGGAGCGCGCCAGGGGCGGCGCCGGAGGCGCCGCTGGGGGGCCACAGCGCCGATCCGAGAAATCCGCGCGGACCTCCGAGTCTTTATGTTCATGTCACTCTTTGTTCCCCTATTTGTCCGTGAAGACGAGCCCGTTTTCCTTCGTCACTCAATGGGCGGTGGTGGTGTATTCTGGCTGCCCTCTGCGGGCCTGCGCGTCGCGGGGGGGGCGCATCTGCGCCTCGTCGCCGAACATCCTGCAGAAAGCCGCCAACCACACGGGCATCACAAGACTCTGTAGGTGCGCACGGCAAGTCCGTGTCGCGACGACCCTGACGTTGGTTTCGGACACCGTTCGCGGATCGTTCCACCCACCGCGAACGGCGGCTGTTCGATCGCCAGATCGCTCCATGGATTCGCGGATGCTGGGGCCAGCGGCGGCGCTTTCAACCTTCCCAGACATCCAGCAACTCCAGCTTGTTCGATGCGTGGGCCCATGGGGGAGGAGGAGGAGGAGGAGGAGGAGGAGGAGGAGGAGGAGGAGGAGGAGGAGGAGGAGGAGGAGGGCGACGAGGAGGAGGAGGGTGAGGAGGAGGAGGCAGAGGATGAGGAGGGGGCCCCAGATCTAGATCAAGGCCAGCTTTTCGTCCTGAGTCGTTTGCTGACGGTCCCGAGGCCCAGCGAGGGCTCACGGAGCCCGAAGACTGCCCAAACAGGCTGCTCCCATCTTTTTGTTGGGAGCGTCGGATCTCCGGATTTCGAGTCGGGGATCGACTACAACATTTCTTTACCCCACACTTGATCTGTTTGTCGAATCTGCGAACATGCGTATCATGCTCACAGATCTACGAACATAACAAGATGTGTTTTGCACATCCGACGGGAAGTTACTCTCGGGGTGAATAACTTTTGCAGTCGATCCCCCACTCGAGGGCTGAACGCCCGCGGCGGGGTCGCCGCCGCGACGGCACGACGCGAACCTGCCGTGCGGAGGTCCTTCCTGGGTCGGCGTTCCTCGGGCGTGAAGTACTGGGGGGCGGCGAAAGGGGGAAAGACACGTGCCCTTCTCCGCCCCATAAAGGCCTCCTCTGGGGCCCTAGAGGGTCCTCTTCAGAAGGAAGCACACTATGCACATGCACCGATCCTGGCCAGGCCCATCCTGAGCCCAGGATCTGGGGCAAACGAAGCCTGGGGCAAAGCAGAGTTGTAGTCGATCCCCTACTCCATCCCCTACCGTGCGGAGTTCCTTCCTGGGTCGGCGCTCCTCGGGCGTGAATTACTGGGGGGCGGTGAAAGGCAGGGAAAGGCACCCTTTCGGGCCCCATAGGGCCCCCTCCAGGGGAAATGCAACCATGCACACACACACACACACACAGATGCTGGCCGGGCCCATCCTGAGCCCAGGCTCGGTGCACGCGCCCTCCTGCCTTGGGCCAGCAAGGCCTGCGCACCGTTCCTGGGCCAGGGATGGGCCTGGCCAGAGTCGGTGCGCGTGTGCAGACCTCCTCGCCCGATCTTTTCAGGGGCCACGGCAGGGGGGGCTGGCACAGGGGGGGAAACCTCCACCTGGAATCGGCGATGCATCGCCGACAGATCGGCGATAGGCCCCCGATAGTGAATCCGCACGCTCCTGGGCAGGCTGGGGCTACCGGGCCCCTCTCGCCGATCAATGGGCGACGGGGGGTCGGTGCTGCCCCCCCCTGAGCCTCCCCCCTCCCCCAATCGTTGTCCCTGGGCTCACGCTTAGGTCGGGCCTGTCCCCCTGCAGGGGGATTTGGGGCGAAAAATTACAAATACCCCCAAGATGCTTCAAACGTGCTCAAAAATACGCGAACAATGTCCCTTGACAATTTTTCCCAACCCTCCTTGCTTGGGTATTCGTTTTGAATAGAGCAGTGTGGTCTCCACTCCTTCCTTCCTCCTCCTCCTCCTCCTCCCTCCCTGCCTCTTCCTGTCTTGCCTGCGGGGGGCTGCGATCTGTGAAACTGTCGCCATTTTCGAGGCCTGCTGGGGGGCCCGGCGCAGTGAGGGCGACGCGCAAATTCAAATTAGACCTCGCCATCCCTGGGGGGGTTGCGATTTGTGAAACTGCCGCCATTTTCGAGGCCTGCTGGGGGGCCCAGCACAGTGACGGCGACGCGCAGATCCAAATTAGACCTCGCCATCCCTTGCCATCCCTTGGGGGGTCTGCGATCTGTGGAACTGTCGCCATCTTCGAGGCCTGCTGGGGGGCTCAGCACAGTGAGGGCGACGCGCAGATTCAAATTAGACCTCGCCATCCCTGGGGGGCTGCGATCTGTGAAACTGTCGCCATGTTCGAGGCCTGCTGGGGGGCCCAGCACAGTGAGGGCGACGAGCATATTCAAATTAGACCTCGCCATCCCTGGGGGGCTGCGATCTGTGAAACTGTCGCCATTTTCGAGGCCTGCTGGGGGGCCCAGCGCAGTGAGGGCGACGCGCGGATTCAAATTAAACCTCGCCATCCCTGGGGGGTCTGCGATCTGTGAAACTGTCGCCACTTTCGAGGCCTGCTGGGGGGTCGCCAAATTAGACCTCGCCATCCCTGGGGGGCTGCGATCTGTGAAACTGGCCTCGAGGCCTGGGGGGCTCAGCACAGTGAGGGCGACGCGCAGATTCAAATTAGACCTCGCCATCCCTGGGGGGCTGCGATCTGTGAAACTGTCGCCATTTTCGAGGCCTGCTGGGGGGCCCTGCACAGTGAGGGCGACGCGCGGATTCAAATTAGACCTCGCCATCCCTGGGGGGCTGCGATCTGTGAAACTGTCGCCACTTTCGAGGCCTGCTGGGGGGCCCAGCACAGTGGGCGACGGCGGACTCAAATTAGACCTCGCCATCCCTGGGGGGCTGCGATCTGTGAAACTGTCGCCACTTTCGAGGCCTGCTGGGGGGCCCAGCACAGTGACGCCACACGCAGATTCAAGTTAGACCTCGCCATCCCTGGGGGGCTGCGATCTGTGAAACTGTCGCCACTTTCGAGGCCTGCTGGGGGGCCCAGCACAGTGTCGCCACGCGCGGACCCAAATTAGACCTCGCCATCCCTGGGGGGCTGCGATCTGAGATCCCCGCCTTCGAAGTGGCTAGGGTTGCTCAGGGATTGTAACTAATCAGCTTTATCTAGTCCTTGTCCTGTAGCCAGTGTCCTGCGAGTGTCCCGACTTCCGTTGGCAGACATACGTAACCCTCGTTCCGTCATCGCCCCCTCTATCAAGTGTCCTAAACTATTTGCGCCCCGCGTTTGCGCAGGGGTTGGGTACGTCGCCAGGGTAATTTGACTGTTTTTGAATATTCCCCCTGTAGAGGGACAGGCCCGACTTAAGCTCACGCCCGTTCTCGTGGCCTGCGCGGCTCCTGGCCAGCCGCGAGCCCGGGTCCCTCCGCAGCGTCTGCACCTCTCGGCGGAGAGTGCCGGCTTGGAGAGATGCCGAGGCGGCTCTCCCGCCTGGCCGTCTGCACCCTCCCACGAGGGGCAGCGGACACTGGGGGAAGGTGGAGGAGGAGGAGGAGGAGGAGGAGAAGGAGGAGGAGGAGGAGGAGGAAGAGGGGGAGGAGGAGGAGGAGGAGGAGGAGGAAGAGAGGAGGAGGAGGAGGAGGAGGAGGAGGAGGAGGAGGAGGAGGAGGAGGCAGGAGAGGAGAGGAGAGGAGGAGCAGGAGCGGGAGGAGGTGGAAGAGGAGGAGGAGAAGGAGGAGGAGAAGAGGAGGAGGAAGAGGAAGAGGAGGAGGGGGAGGAGGAGGAGGAAGAGGAGGAGGAGAAGGAGGAGGAGGAGAAGGAGGAGGAGGAGGAGCAGGAGGAGGAGGTGGCAGAGGGGGGGGGGAACGTGACCTGGACTCGGCGCTGCGTCGCCGAGGGATCGGCGAGCGGCCCCCCCGGGCAGCAGGCCCGCACGTGCGGGGCTCGGAGCGGCCAGCGGGCCCCGAGCGGCGATGCGAGGGCGACAGGGGGCGACATATCGCTGCCTCCAGCTCCCGGGGCCCCTCCCGGCCCGCATCTCCGGGCGCGGGCAGCGGGGGCGACGAGAACCCTCGAGGCGCGGGTGGCCCGAGCACGAGGGGCCACGCGCTGGGGAGGACCCCCGCCTGGCTCGACCCCCAGACCTCGGGCGTGGTGCACCCTGAGTGCGCGGCCCCAGACGTCGCGACTCCTTCTCCGGGAGGGGGGGGAGGGGGGAGTTTGTCGTCCTGGCACGTTTGTGATCGTCCCCAGATCCAGAAACTGGCCCGAGGGGCCGAACTTCAATAAACAAAATGCCAGACTGGAACAATTGGGAGAGCAGAAGATGCCGATACCGCTACTCTACGCTCTACGGACGTCTCCCAGGGCGCGCTCTTACCAGGAATTCGCTGAGAATCCAAGACGACGAGGGCTCTCCAGGACGAGCAGCGGTATCGCCACATTTATCTCCTCGTATAGGCAGCGAGCCTGGGGCCCAAGGAGGAACACAGAGGGGGAAGGGCCTTTTCAGAAGGCTCGGAAGGACTCCGGTCTTCTGAGAAGTTGTCTAAGCCTTACCCGAAGAGAGTGATGGCTCTCATAAAAACAGAGGGCGTCTGAGAAGCCACGCCGCCACTGAGAAGGCCTGCTCCCTCTCACTCCCCCGGGCTCTCCGCTGATCCGAAACATCATATCGTCTGCATCTCGCACTGGCCCTGGAGTACAGCGTGGGACCAAAGCAGGTGGGCTTGGCCCTCCAAATCAGATCGACGGGGATCTACAGTCGTGGCGTTGACCTGAGGAACCCTAAACAAGGAACGAGGCCCCTTTTCTCCACAAGTCGACCTTCGACTTCCGGTCGAAAACATGAGGAAAGCCTGAGGCAAGCTGTGAAACACTTCAGGAACGCGGAGCCCCTCCCCAACGAAAAGGGTTCCTTCTTCAGGGCCCCGACTGTAATCTAGGCCGGGCCCTCCTCCGAGCACCTCCTCATCACGATGCCAGTCTTGGGGGTTCCCTTAGTTTTTGAGGGCGAACCCCTAAGATTCTCATCGCCTTTTGGCGTGTCACTCTTAGGGATAGGGATACGTTCGAGGCTGGTAACTCTCCATCCTCCGAGCACCGTGGTCGTCAGGAGCCTCCCGCCGACGTTCAGCCGGACGACCGCCGGCAGCGGCGGCGCCCCCGCCGCGGCTGGCGGCGGGGAGGCCGCCGCCGCGCCGCCGCCGTCGTCGTCGTCCAGCAGCGAGGCGAGGATGTCCTGAGGGGCAACGGTCTCAGAGCTCCGACGACACGCTGGAGGAGGAGGGGGAGGAGGAGGAGGAGGAGGAGGAGGAGGAGGAGGGGGAGGAGGAGGAGGAGGAGGAGGGGAGGAGGAGGAGGAGGAGGAGGGAGGAGGAGAGGAGGAGGAGGAGGAGGAGGAGGAGGAGGTGAAGGAGGAGGAGGAGGAGGTAAAGGAGGAGGAGGAGGCGGAGGAGGAGGATGTTGGAGAGGTCTGGGGAGGGGGAGCAGGGGGAGGTTCTGCTGCTGGGCGTTCGCTCCCGCTCTTGCGGACCCCGGAGGCCTGCCAGGACTCGCCCGCGATGCTTGGAGTACCTTGTCCCAGCGCTTTGAAATCGTACGAGATCCGAGTAGGTGGGGTCGAAGAAAAGCACCGCATCGGCGATGCGTCGGCGATGCATCGCCAATGCATCGGCGAAGCAGTGGCAACGTCGGCGATGCATGGGCGATGCAGCGGCGACGTCAACATGAATAAACCCTCGAGCCCCGAGCCTCCGGCACAATCTGCTTCGATTCCTCGGGCTCCAAGGCCCACCATCAGGCCCCGGGGCCATCAAGGGAAGGGCCCGGGGCAAACAAGTGACCCGAAGGAATCGGGGGCGCGCAAACATGGAATAGCCATCCATGGATTTGGCGCGCGGCCGCCAAATCCATGGATGGGGGGAGGTGCCCTCCCCAACATGCGGCCGGTGCCGCCTCGCTCGGCGGCGGCAATCCGCGATTTCTCATGGAAACGGGACCCTTCGCTAATCCACGCCCCCTGGATCCATGTTTGCGATCGCCTGGAGGAAGGGGCCGGGACGTCTGGAGACGCACATTGAAAAACAGATCGGCGGATGTCAAGGACGGGCTCAGGGAGGAAACATCGACCTGAACGTCGGTGGTGAAGAGGCCTTCGACAGCGAACCCAGACGTTCCTTGGCAGATTGGTCTCTGTCGGCGACGAATGGCCGATTGTGGTGTCGATGACGTTGCCCCACGGTATATCCCCGTCCGACGTGCTTAACCCTGAAAGGTCTTTAGATCCCTCCCTAATAGGATGTAACTAATTGTTTGTTCGGATGCCTTATTGAAGGACTGGGGTTCCAACGAACAGGGGGTAACTATTTTTTCTTTTGTTCCGCGGCACCCGCCTCCTCTTCCTCCTCCTCCTCCTCATCCTTCCCTCCTCCCTTCCTTCCTTCTTCGTTACTTCCTTCCTTCCTTCCTTCCTTCCTTCCTTCCTTCCTTCCTTCCTTCCTCCTTTCTTCCTTCCTTCCTTCCTTCCTTCCCTCCCTCCTCCTCGTCCTCCTCCTCCTGCTCGTCGTCCTCCTCCTCCTCCTCCTCCTCCTCCTCCTCCTCCCCGTGCCATTGTAAGAAGGGGAAGGGGGAGAACGGAGGAGGAGGAGGAGGAGGTTTTAGGACCCGTCCTTTTCACCGCCGAGAGAGAACGGGGGGTGGACCAAAAAACGAAAGACCTTCAGCGGCTACCTGACCATAACTCGAAATTCCAGCGGCTGTTCGGGAGGGTCCGCGGGCATTCCCGGCACGCTCTCTCGGCGGAGCGCCCCTCAAGATTCCCGGAACCAGGCGTCCCAAGGCTGGAAGAAGACCCACGAAGTGCGACGAAAACCACCAAAAATCCCTGACCTCGAGCCTGTCACCACCCCCTGAGCCTATCCCTCCCCCTGACGTTTCGGGGGCGTGCAAACCTGGAACAGTAACAGCGATCCATGGATTTGGCGCGAGGTCGCCAAATCCATGGATCGGGAGAGGTGCCCTACCCAACATGCGGCCGGTGCCGCCCCGCTTGGCGGCGGAACCCGTCGCTAATCCACGCCCCCTTGATCCATGTTTGCGATCGCCTGAACGTTGCCCAAGACCTGCTTGGGGTCGATGGTTGCCCCCTGAGCTTGCGTATTCCCCCCCGAGCGCTGCCCCCGATGTCCGGCGTCGGCGATGCAGCTGTCTGCACAAGCCGCTCCAGGTGCGCCGCCGAGAGCTGCTCGAGGTCCTTCCCCCCAACCCCCTTGTGGGCCATGGAAAAATCACCGCCCTGAGATCCGCTGGGAAATATTCGGGCCATGAACACCACACGGTCGGGACATGAATCGCCATGTGAGCGTTTTTTTTCGGGGTTTCGACATTGGGCAGAAAGAAAGGGGGGAGAGGGGGTCTGGCTCCAGACCTTTGCTTAGTGCGACTGTTTGCAAGAGTGCTGCCTCTGTGGGAGACTCCACCCGCTCGAAACAGGCGCCAAGAAACAGTCAAGATCTACTCCAGGGGGGGGGGTGCGAGGGCACGCGACGATCGGCAACAGAATGAATAAAAAAACGCTCACCATGAGAATAATCATCCCAAACATGCACGTGTTGAAAATCACGGCGGAAGGATTTGTTGTAGTTGTCGGACCCCTGGGGCCCTTGCCTGACCCCGCTCAGACTAAGTGTGGGTTTGTTTCTGCTTTGCTAACCAGAGTTGGTTACAACACACACACACACATACACACACCCTGTCACAACCACCGTGAGCTGTTCTGACCTAGATACATCCGCGGACACTCACCCACGACAACGCTCAACGGGTATAACCACTTTCGATTTGCTCTAGAGACGGTACCAATGTACAAACGATTAACGTAACGTTCTGGTACTTGTACTGCTTTTACATATGGAATACACATGTTGACGTGAACGTCAACTAGTTGAAACAAATGCACAACAACAGCGCGGGAATCTAAATTACGTCGACATTGGATTGGGACTGGTAGTAAGACAATGGCGTTATTATGCGTGTTGGGAACAAAGTGGCTAAACTTCTGACGTGTAGCACCCCACAACACGTGCGCGCTAAAACAAACACATCTGCATTGACAAAGAATGACAACACAACAAAAAACGCTACCTTGAACATTGAGCAAAACCACAAACCGCTAACCATAATGCTGTTGGTACCGATGTTCTGAACGTGACGAAGGCCATACGATGAATTAGAAGTGCGCTGAACCTCGCATGCCTCAAAGTTGAAGGCGATTGACTTCACTTCACAATGGTATCTACATTTACGCTGCGCCGCTGACTTCGTTGTGTGTTGTTCCATGGGGTAGCTTTTGCTTATTGCCGCCCTGCTGAATTATCGGCGGGAAACACGGAGACGCGACGCGGTGCGAGGTGGAGAGGGGACGATAGGGAGACGGGGTAGTATGCGCTGCTTGGGCGGGCGATGGGGCAATGATGAAGGGGCAATGGCTGGCGCGACCGCTGAGCTGCAGCTCGCGCGCGATCGTGCCGCCACCCCCCTTTTGCCTGACGGCGATGGGCCGCAGCTCGCGTCGTTGACAAGGAACAGCAGCAGATGTTTCGGCGGTCATAGCTGGGCCGTGCGCAAGTGTTCGTCGCAGCGCAATGGCGACGCCCGCTTGGAAGGCGGAGTTGGCCTCCATCATGCGCCTGCACACCACAAAAGGGCACCCTGGTGATGGGGCGGAAGCCGATGTACGCGCGCTCGGCGGAGCTTGGCCTTGCGAACCGGCTGCGGGCGGATCCCCCCGCGGCTCCGCCCGCCCAGTTGTGTGTTCCAGGGTGCAGTAAGACTACCATCCAGAAGCGCAAGATGGCAGCGCGCAGGAGGGCCGTCTTGTGGCGACGCAGACAATGCGCTATGCGCGTCCAGAGTCGCAGCGGCACGAACGGCGTTTCGGGACGTTGGTACCTGGCGTGCGCCGGCGCTTCTGCTGCAGCGAGCGGCGGGTGTAATGATAGTTGTCCATTGGCAGAGGCGTCTCTGTGCACGGCGGTGGACACGCCGCCTGCAGGGTCGAGTGCCTTGGACATGAGCCTCGGCAAGAAATTCGAAAGCTCACTGCCTGATCGGGAGGGACGTGCCCCACGACTGCGGGAGGGCGCGGTGCGCCTCATCATTATACTTGAGCAGGGACCGACCGTCCCGGCAGTTCCATGGGCCTACCACGACATGTTCTTAGAACCCAGACATGCTCTGAATACAGAAACAACGTTCTTAGAACGTAAGCCCGACGTGCTAGAACGAAACAGTCCCCGCCAGAAATGCTCCAAGAACCTTTCGTGCAGACCACGAAAGGTTCTTAGAACATTATTTGGCAGTCCTATAGGCAAGCTGGGACGCTTCATGCGAACCCCTACCCCTACCCCACACGATTTCTGAGGGGGGTAGGGGTAGGGGTTCGCATGTGGCCTCCTAGCTGCGGCGACCTCGGAATCCAAGACCTCACCGCACGGCCCGTCTCCCCGTGCGGATATCTGGCACCCGGGGCCAGGGGAGGCTCCCCGGCCGCCCGCGACCCCGCCCTCGCAGCACGACCCGAGCCGCCAAAACCGCGCGGGCCCCCCGAACTCCTCCTCCTCCTCCTCCTCCTCCTCCTCCTCCTCCTCCTCCTCCTCACTCGGAAGCTGGGCGGAGGCTGGCAAATCTGTGGCTGCTGAAACGGTCTTCCCGGAAGAGAAATGGACAATGCCCCGGAGTACAACTCTCAGCACGCTGAACAGTAGACGGGCTGCTTCCCGGCAGAAGCGAACAAGTTCCTGGAGCTCTCTTTTTTAGCAGCCACGGGTGTGCCAGCCTTCGCCTGGGGGACCTGAGCTATGAAGACCGAAAGCGTTAGGGATACAGTCGGGGCTTTGACCTAAGGAACCCTAAATAAGGAACGAGGCCCCTTTTTCCCAGGAGTTAAACTTCGATTTCCCATCGAAGCCCTAAGCAAAACCAAAGGCGAACTGCAAAACAACTAAGGAACACCGAGCCCCTCCCAAACGAAAAGGGTTCCTTCCTCAGCGCCCCGACTGTAGGGTTGCTTTTCTGCAGATACGTCGATCCACACCGTCCACGTCTATGATCCCTAATGCACAGACGGGGTCCTGAGTGGGGTTCCCGTCTTCACTGTGTTATTAGGGGTCCTTGTATCCCCGATGACCACTGGCTCACCCCACGGCGTGGTCACTGCACAGCTCGGTACGCGCGGACGCGTGCATCGAACTGGCCTGTACACGCCGGGCGTCCTCCCCAAAACAGTGTCCGCCATGTCTTGCGCGGTGGCGGCTGCGCGCCCAGACGTCCGATGTGTCATGTTTCTTTCACTGCGAGGTTGACAGCTCTGTGGCCAGGCGGGGGCCCCTAGAGGCCGAAAACTGCCACAGACCGTCCGCCATGTGTTGTCTCACGGCGCGAGCTTGTTTGGGAACATCCGCCCTATAGGTCATCCGCCCGCACGTCCGCCCGCGATCAGGGATCAGAGATCGCTGCCTGGATCTCTCCCCGGGCGCATTCTGCTCAGAATGTCGAGATGGAGCCAGCCACGGCCACAGGGGCGCGTCAGCACGAACAACGCACAGAAAACAAGACTCGAACCGCGAACCTCGATCCCTGATCGGAGGTCTGGGCTCATTCTGCAGGCCCGCTTTTCAACCCGAGTTTTTTGAAGGGGAACTGGGACACACAAATAAATACGCACAAATAGCCAGATGCCCCATATTTTCCCAGATTGTCTGGGTTATTGTCTTCCCCCCCACTTCCTATATGTTCCATATGTTCTGGGGAATCGACGATGACTTGTGTCTATGTGTTTCGTTCCCTCCTGATGGTTGCTTTTTCCCCAAGACCGAGGCCCTCCGAGGGCCCCCCGAGGGCAAAACATCAGCAAAAACAAAAAACAGGAGGACGAGGAGGAGGAGGAGCAGGAGGAGGGGGAGGAGGACGAGGAGGAAGAGGAAGAGGAGGAGGAGGAGAGAGCGACCCTCGATACTCGATACTCGTCGCAGGTTTTCCCACGCTGCGAGGATGTCCTCCGCCCGCAGGTCCGCGATGTGTTGCTCCTTGTGGACCAAAAACATACCTGTGCCCACGGCCTCGCGGATAGTTGCTCGGCAGATGCTACGGGGGGGGGGGGGCTATTTCTGGCCTGAAAAAGCTTACCAAAGGGTTACACATGCCCACAACAGCATGGTTAACGATCCGGGCTAAACGGGCTCCGCCTACCTGTCGGGAGCGGCCAAGAGGGAGGTGTCCAAGAGGGGGGTGTGCAAATCATGACTGGTGGCATGTGCGCGGCCCAGCGGGGGGGCCAGGGACGTAATGAAATACGAAGGGGCGCCATGAAATCTGGGGAAATATCATGGCCCCCGCCATGATCTCCCCCCCCCCTAGTCATCACCCCCCTCTTTTCCGCCCCCGAACTTGGTAGACTTCCCCAAATTTAGCCACTTGCGAGCTAGTTTAGGCCAGACATAACTCACATTGGCATCTACTGAAACCAATCCCCTTCCCCTCCGCAAACCCCTGCGCGGATCCCCGATCCGTTCGGTACGATCCTGCGCCTCGAGTGGGTCCCCATCCTGACACTGCCTGCCTACGCGGGTGGAACCAGCCTAGCCTGGATCGTTGATTTGCCCAAGCCACTTGGGGCATGTGTAGCCTGCCCAAAGCCCCAAAGCCTGGTCAGGCCGGATGCAGTCCACCCGGCACCCACCGATAACGCCTTCATCCCGTCGCAACCCCCGCGCCCAACATCGTGAAAAATCGCGACCAGAGCTAGGTCGGACTTGTCCCCCTAGAGGCGGATGTTTGGCCGACAAGTGAGACATACCCCGAAAAACATGCCCCCAAAAAATGCTCAAACGCGGTCAAGAAGTCGTCCCCAGAAGATTTTGCTACCACTCTGGAGGATCCCCCCCTGTGGAGGGACAGGCCCCACTTCAGACCCCAGCCTTGGGCCCCATCTCCCCGCGCTGCGCTCCGAGGGAGGAGAAGGAGGAGGAGGAGGAGGAGGAGGGCCTCCTCCTCCTCCTCCTCCTCCTCCTCCTCCTCCTCCTCCTCCTCCTCCTGGCGGCCCGAGAGGGCGGGCGCCCTCCCGAAAAAGAGCCCCGCTCGCAGCACTCGCCACCGCTCGGACGTCCATCCCCTGTGTTCTTGTTCGGCTTCGTGCGTGGCTTGCTCGCCAAAGGATCGAGGAGGCTCCTCGACGGTCCTCGACGAAGGAAACATGCAGACGTCCAAACGATGCCGAGACCAAGGGAGGCGCCGGGATCTCAGGAGTTTGGGATCGTGGCGCGGGCCTCCATCGGGGGGGTGGCAAAGGGCAGGGTCGAGAATCGGCTCACGTATAGCTGATTTTCCCAGCGCCTCCCGGCGCCCGGAGGCGCCCATGCCTCGAGGAGTGGGCCCGGCGGCGGGGCCGAAACCGGCTGCATGCAGCAGATTTCGTACCCCCCCCTGTCCCTATCCCCCCCTTTCGTTCGGCCCGACCCCAGTGGCAGTTCGAGAGGATCTGGGCACCCTCAGAACGCTCCCGGCGGGGCGCAACTGCTGGAAGGCATCCCGAGGCTGGGAAGCCGCTGGACTCCGACGCGGACGCCAAGATCTCAGGGTCCACCGAGCGGAGGGCGTGGGCATGCGTTGATGTGTGAGGGTGATGGTTTGATCAGGTTCCGCCTCATTAGCGCCTATTGGTGCCTACCAGTATTCCCTATCAACGACTATCAGCGCCTGCAGGCGCCTGTGAGTGTCTGTGTTGACGCCAATTCACGCCTGTGAACCAGCAGAGCTAAACGCTGATGGCCAGAGACGGCAAGACCTCATACCCAAAATGAGCCCCACGCGTAACATACCTAAACTCGGGAGCTTGGCGTCCAAGAGGGGGAGGCGCCGTCCAAGAGGGGGAGGCGCAAATCATGGCCGGCAGCACGCTGTGCGCGGCCCAGGGGAGGGGGGCCAGGGGCGTAATGAAATAAGAAGAGGCGCCATGAAATCTGGGGAGATCTCATGGCCCCCTCCATGATATCAACCACCCAGGGTCCTCACCCCCCTCCTGGCCGCTCCCGATAAAATGAAGGGGCCCTGGGACACACAAATAAATACACACAAACAACAAGATTCTCCCATATTTTCTGGGTTTCTCTCTTCCACCCCACTGCCCATATTTTCCAATACTTTCTGGGAGATCGACGATTAAGTGTGTCTGTGTGTTTTTTCCTCTCCTGAGAAACGTGTGTATGGATACGTTTGCGGCTCCAGGGCTCCACCGCGTCGCCGCTGGACGAGGGCGCGGAGGCCGGCAGAGCCCCCGGCAGCGCCCCCGGCAGACAGGCCGAGGCCTGCCAGGCGGGGGCCGGCGAGGCAGCGCTCAGGGCGTGGCCGCTGCCGCTGGGGCTCCTCGGGCGCAGCCTCGAGCTGATCGAGCCGTCGCCGTCGCCGTCGCCGTCGTCGTCGTCGTCGTCGTCGTCGCAGTCGCAGTCGCCGTCGCCGGCGCCGCCGCCATCGTCGCCGCCGCCGCCGCCAACGCCATCGCCGTCGTCGTCGTCGTCGCCGTCGTCGTCGTCGTCGTCGTCATCGCTCTTCAGGGTCGAAGGCACTGGCCGAAAAGACTTCGCCACATCTGCTTGGAGAGCATCTTCCCCTGGAGACCTCCTGCATGGGGTCCTCCCCTGGAGACCTCCCGCATTGAGACCTCCCGCATGGAGAGCTCCCGCATGGGTCCCCTGGAGACCTCCCGCATGCGATGCGGTCGGAGGATCGCGCCGCATCGCCAATGCCTCCCCTTTACCTCGGCGATGCATCGGCGACGTCGGCGATGTATCAACGACTTCAGCGTGAAGAAAAATGTGCTCCACATCGAGCCGCAGCGGCGATGCATTGGCGATGCGGCGCGATCCTCAAGCCCCATCTGCTCGGACCCCATTTGCGATGCTGGTATCATCCCGATCCCCAACATTGGCATGCCCAATGGCGATGGCAATATTACCAAGATCGGCGTCAGGGGTGGTACTAGCACTTGTAGATGCCAGGGCGGGCTACATTTGGCCTCACCTAGCTTACAGGCGGACTCCAAATGCCCCAAGTGGCTAAGTGGGGTCCGCCGACTTAGCAGAGTTTCTAACCTTCCCTGAGCTAGACTAGGCCAGATGTAACTCACCTTGGCATCTACTGATCCAACTTTAGGTCTGGCCTGTCACCCTACAGGCTGATTCTGAGCGAAAAAAATAACAGAACAAACACAAATATTCAAACCATATTCAAAGATGCTACAAACAACGTCCCCAGACATTTGTTGGACTAATTTAGAACATTCCCCCTGTAGACGGACAGGCCCGACTGAAACATATCCACCCTTATCCCCTTAGCTCCTCCCTCGCCGATCCCCGATCCTCACGCTCCCGCGCCTCGAACTGAAACCCTATCCCGACACTGCCCTGGAGACGTAGTGCAGTTTGAGTCGTCGATCTGTTTGTTTTCTCCGCGGTGGGTTTGGCGTCTTGCTTGGTCTCCAGGTCTGTTTTCGGGCCCACGAGACCGTCCGAAGCGGACCCGGGAGCAGGAGCAGGAGACTGCCCACAGGGAAGTCTCCTGCTCCTGCACGAGTCTTCGACACGACCTGCAACAGTTGTAGTGCTTTTCCAGAAGGGTGTCAGATTGACAAGCCCGAGAGCGATGGAAATCTCATGGATGCGAGCCTCAACAACCGAGGGTATCCTTAAGCTCGGCGTGGGGATAAGGTGCGGCAGAGATCTGCATGCCGCCCGCAAGTTGCCTAGAATGAGCGACGAACAGAAGCGGATCTCTCTCACACACACAATGATATCGCGAAATTGCGCGGTGGCTCACCCGGGCCGCCCGCGCGGCACGATACATTGGAAACGCGGGCGCCCGGGCGGACTGCACGGGATGGTCCGCGCAGTCGACCCGCACTCCTTCTGGAGGGCAAGCACCCAGGCCAGCTGATATGGTCCCTGGTGCTCAATCCAAACGTTTTCCCTATGCTTCGGCACATGGGGGCCGCTACCGGGACCCTACTCAGGCCATCAAACATTGATCCGGGGAGGGAGACTGTCCCTGGGGAAGGGGACTTCTATGGCAGCGCGCATGCACAAACGAACGTCGTCGGATGTCGGTCTGGGTTGTGGCTTTGTGGTAGACCCCTTCTCTGCAACCGTTGATGTCCCCCCGCCCCCCGCCCCCCGTTTGTTTTGGCCTGGAACGCCCAAGCTCCTCCACTGGCCGACGTGCCGGCCGATGTTCCACATGCCCGAGCGCTCTCCGCGGCAGGCGCTTGCCAGGGCGCGACCATTGGAGCTGCAAGCTGAGAAAGGCTACAGGGAGCGCGCGGGAACCCGAGGGCCTATGCTGGGATCGGCGCGGGGGTGGCTAAAGGGCAGGCCCTCGGAAGCATCCCGGGGGCCCTCTCGGGGAGGTCCTCGGAGGCTTCCTGGAGGCCGTCGGAGGCGGCGGCGTCGTCCTCGTCGTCGTCGTCGTCGTCGATATCAGTAAATGCCAAGGTGGCTTACATCTAGAAGTGCCCAAAAAGGCTCCGGGGGGGGAGCATATAGCTCCGCTAAGTCGGCGGAGCCCACTCAGCCTGGATCGGTGCTCCCCATGGTGCATGTGTAACCCACTTGTTAAAATATGTTGCATCCTCAAGGGGACCTTGTCTGTCCCGTCGTGGCCCTATCCGCGTCGACTCCGTGCCGAATCTACGTCGGGCTCGTCGCATCCGTGTCGAATCCGTGACGAATCCGTGTCGAATCCGCAGTCCGCGAGGAGTCCGCATCGAGCCAGCGTCGGGCACGAGAGAGGGCGTCGGCGGCTCGGCGTGGCGGGCGTCGGCCGGCGACGGCCGCCCAGCAGCACGCGGGGGCGGCCCCAGGGGTCGGGAAGCGGCCGTCGGCGCGCAGAGGTCCCATCGCACCATGCGGGGCGACAGCACGTGGATCCGCACGCGTATACAGTCGAGGCGTTGACCTAAGGAGCCCTAAAGAAGGAACGAGGCCCCTCTTTTCCATGAGTTGAACTCCGATTTCGCATCGAAAACCTAGGGGGAACCTGAGGCAAGCGGCGAAACACTTAAGGAACACGGAGCCCCTCCCCAACGAAAAGGGTCCCTTCTTCAGGGCCCCGACTGTATACGGGTGACCCATAAAAAGGGGTCCAGCTGAGAAGGGGGTGGTGTAATACATGTCGGGCAAGTGTCTTGCAAACGTTCTGCGCCCGAGATTTGTATGGCAGCAGTGTGCTGCAAGTAATGCGTTGCACGCGAAAATGCAGCAAGACAATGGCGCCCCGAAATGTACTGCACCAAGTCTATTGCACCAAGTCTATTGCACCAAGTCTATGGCAACCCCGCAGATCTTTTGCACCAAGTCTAGTGCACCACCCCCTTGTCGCTGGAACCCGTTTTGGGTCAACCCGAACTGAGGTAGGTCTGCGGGCCATACACACAAATACCAGGATTCCCCAGGTTTTCACATATTTTTTGGGTGTTCGCTTCCCCCCTCCACGCTTCCCATACTTCCCCATCCTTTCCCTTGGAGTCGACGACGAATTGTGCCTGCGTCATTTTCCCCGTCATGAAATGTGTGGAACAGCACATTGATACACGAAGGTCTGCGGGCCTTCGCCCGAAACGTGGTGTACATCTGGCGCGCTCCAGAGAGCCTGAACCCCAAACTGTCGCCATCGCTTGGGACGCAGATCTTGACTTTCGCCGCCTACCGCCGGCGGAAGCGGCCCCCGTTCTGCTTGAGCTTTTTCCGCCGCTGTCTCCCGCCGTCCCCCGCCGAGGAAAAGATGGCAACTCAGAGGGTCCTCGAAGTCGAGGCCGTTTCTGGAGCACGGAATCTGTTAATTATTGAGCGTCTCGGGCTCGCGAACCTACTCAGAGGAGTGTGCACTATCGTGCTGTGCGTGGCGGCGGCGGTGGCGAACGCAGCTCCATGCTCACTTTCCGGAAGGCAAAAGGGCCATGCACACACACACACACACCGATTTGGGCCAGGTCCATCCTGAGCCCAAGATCGGTGCATGCGCCCTCCTGCCTTGGCCAGGAAGGCATATGCACCGATCCTGGGGCCAAGGGTGGGCCTGGCCAGGACCGGTGCATGTGCATAGTTCTCTTCGCCCGATTTTCTGCCACCGACGTGTGGAGGCCGCGGGCAGAAGGGGGTCGGAAGACCGCGCCGCATCGCCGATGCCGCGGCGACGCCGGGAGGAAGAACATCAGGCTGCGAGTCGGGCCCCCGGGCCGCAGAAGCGGCAGGTCCGTTTTGCCACCGCCTTCGAAACGCTCGCCTCTTGAACATGGAAGCGGTGAAAGAGGGCGACAAGAAACGGCAACAAAAACAGCTCCAGGACTGGAACCGGAACCAAAACAAGCAACAGAAACGGCGACGGAACCGCCAACACAAGGACGACGGAACCGGCAAACAAAAAACACAAAAAAAAACCGGTCGTTTCCAGGGCCCACTAAGATCGAACCGTCTCCTTGCCGAAGCATCGGCGATGCGGCACGATCCTCCGACCCCATGCGGTCGGAGTGCCCAATCTGGACGGCCTCGACGGCGGCGGCCTGCGTGCTTGCCAAGGCCAGGCTGACGGCGGTGTTGCTTAACGGCGATGTTGGGCACCACAATCGGAAATCACGAGCCACACTTTCCTGCATCTCCAATTTGCGACTGGAGCACGACGCAGCGGATTGCAGGAGAAAGCGCGAGCCACGCCTTCCCCCACGGCCGAAACCCACATCGCCGTTGCCTACATCGCCGTTTGCCCGTCTACGGGCTTGGCCCTGCCCCATCCCCTCCCCCCCAAGGGTCTCTCCCGTCCCATGGCCAGGATCAGCAGAAGCCTCTTCGTCGTCCTCTCCCTCCTCCTTGTCCTCCTCACATTTCTCCTCGTCCTCCTCCTCGTCCTCCTCCTCCTCCTCCTCCTCCTCCTCCTCCACGTCCTCCTCCTCCCCCCCTCCTCCTTCTCCCTCCTCCTCCTCCTCTCCTCCTCCTCCTCCTCCTCCTCCTCCTCCTCCTCCTCCTCTCTCCTCCTCCTCTCTCCTCCTCCTCCTCCTCCTCCTCCTCCCTCCTCCTCCTCCTCCTCCTCCTCCTCCTCCCCTCCTCCTCCTCCTCCTCATCCTCCCTCCTCCTCATCCACGTCCTCCTCCTCCCCTTCCTTCTCCTCCTCTTCCTCCTCCTCCTCCTCCGTCGACCCTCCACCTCCTTCCCCCTTCTCTGTGCGGGCTCTTTGGGCATGAGAGGCGGCACAATTTTCCCAGACAAGTGCATCCGCTTTGGAGTAGAAGCTCCAAGCCAAGGGTCGACAGCTTCGATCCTTCATTGACCACGGGCAGCTGGACTCGTTCTCGCCGAAGCGCAATCCTCCTCCTCCTCCTCCTCCTCCTCCTCCTCCTCCTCCGACGGTGCCCCGGGGCCCTCGGATCCAAGGAAGGCCCCAGGGCGCGCGCACCGCGAGCGCGCCGCCCGCGCGCGCGCGCCCGCGCTCGGGCCGCCGGCTCCGACGCCGCCTGCGCCTCCACAGCCCCCGCTGGCGCCCCCGTCCGCCTCCACCACGCCGTCGCGCCAACTGCGTCCTCCTCCTCCTCCTCCTCCTCCTCCTCCTCCTCCTCCTCCTCCTCCTCCCTCTCCTCAACCTCCTCCTCCTCCTCCTCCTCCTCCTGCAGCCCTCCACGTCCTCCCCTCCTCCACCTCTTCGCCTCCTCCTCCTTGGCCTCGGCGTCTTGGCGCCTCTATCCTCGGTGGCCTCGGCCTCCGCCTCGGCCTCGGCCTCCGCCTCCTCTGCCTCCTCCTCCCCTCCTCCTCCTCCCTCCTCCTCCTCCTCCTCCTCTCTCCTCCTTCCCCTCCTCCTCCTCCTCCTCTTCTCTCTCCTCCTCCTCCTCCCCTCCCTCCTCCTCCTCCACCTCCTCCGCCGCCTCCTCCATCTCCTCCTCCTCCTCCCTCCTCCTCCTCCTCCTCCTCCTCCTCCTCTCCTTCCTCCCCCCCCTCACCCCGCCCCCCTCCCGCGGAGCTGAGCACCAAGGGCCACTCCCTGCGAAGGGCCACCCTCCCAGCCACTCCTGGCCTGGACCCCCCCGCGGCCTGGACCCCTCCCTTCCCGACGACCGAGTCGCTCTTCGACGGTCCCGGGGCCAAGTGGTCCGTCACGAGGACGCACGTGCACAGACGCCCTCCGACGACTTCTGCGTGCACCCTCCGAGGGTGCGGCGGTGCACAGAGTGAGCGCCTGCCGTCGCATGCCTGCACCAGCGCGAGGGGCTGCTCCTTCACCCACTGGCCCGACCGCGTGCGCTGTCGAGTTCGAAGCAAAAACGGCTTCTGCAAGATCGCAACACCAGCATGTGGAGCTCCTCAAGAAGGTATTTTGAAGTAAGAAACCAGCCCCCATTTGGACGCCTGGACATTGGCACCAACACCAGCACAGGGGGCTGCCTCCACATGGGGAAGACGATCCCAGCTTCCGGTGTTGGTGGTCCTATTTCGGCCGCCTCAGAAGCCAGAACCTTACCACCATCGCCGAGATCGGGATCCTCTTCCCATCGGTGGAGGCACACCGCCGATGTACCCCTTCTTCGAGCGACTGAACAGCAAGAACCCCCGACTGTACCCCTTCTTCCTCCGAACTCGACCTCGCGCCTAGGTCCGACCGCATCCCCCCGCGCCGAGCCCGGCCGCAATCCTCCCTCTTGCTCCTCCCCCCCGGCCCCGAAGGACGCTGACGGGCACTCCTCGGGGCACTGCTCCTTCACCCACTCGTCCGAGCGCTGGCACATGTCGGCTGCGCGGGCGGAGGCGGTCGGCGGCGGCGGCGGGAGGAGGAGGGGGAGGAGGAGGAGGAGGAGGAGGAGAAGGAGGAGGAGGAGGAGGAGGAGGAGGAGGAGGAGGAGGAGGAGGAGGAGGAGAAGGAGAAGGAGGAGGGGGAGGAGGAGGAGAAAATGGAGGAGGAGGAGGAGGAGGAAGAGGAGGAGGAGGAGGAGGAGGAGGAGGAGGAGGAGGAGGAGGAAAAAGAGGAGGTATCGCACGGCGCAGGGGCGACCACGACGGCGGGGGCCAGGACGGCGGGCCTCCGAGCGGAGGCCTGGCGTACAGCACCGGCAGCTCGAGCAGCACGCCGCTTGCCGTCGCTCGGACGTCCACTCCCCGTGCAGTGTCCGATTCTCCGTGCGTGGTTGTTTTTTTGTCCACGATGGGCCAGGATGCTTCTCGATGGTCCTCGCCGAGAACAAAAAGGAACACGTCCGGGCGATGGCGAGGCCGATGAGGGGCTGCGTCCCATGCTAATCTGCGAAGGGGCCCAGTCACCGCACACAGAGAAAATGATGGCTCAGAGACCTCGGCT